CGGGGCCAGGGGGCTTCCGGAACGGATTAACGTCGGTATGCGAGGCACCACCTACTATTCCAAGACAAAGGCTATAAGACTGTTGCATTGAGTTAATCAGGTTTCACCTTAGGTAACATTGGATGAATTGTCTCAAACTGTGCAATGCCCAGCCCGATGTAGGATCCTGTTGGAATCAAAGGCTTGCCTGGTTTTAATATTTTGTTGGCCAAATAAAGTTATTACCCACCCTCCTTTATGGAATTACCTAATCTTGCAGCAGGAAGTTCCATGGTTTAACTGTGAATTGCATGAAGATGCGCTACATCTTTTTCCTGAACATCCACCAATTATATTGAGGCAAAATATTCTGAGAGAAATATTTTGTATTTAAAAATAATTGAGCCACTGAATGGTATCTTGAAGAGTTACTGAAAATGATCTGTTATGTTGATCCAGTTGGATATTTTTGTCCTGTATTAGATTATTTAGAAACTAATAACTTACAGAATTTGTATCAGTTGATTTTAGATATGGACTGTAATTGTAGAGTGCATCTTTTTCACTTTTTTCTCTTTCCGATTTTTTCAGTGCCAAAATAGTTGTTCACCTTCATCCAGTACCTTCCAACAAGGAACCTGGTCCTTTCCAAACTAGCAAATATTCATACATCAAACTTTCTTTCAAGGAACATGGTCAGATTGAGGTAAGTATGTTAGTTTGATGAGTGAGATGATATTCAAGTGAGTTTTCAAAATTGCATTTGTGTAAAGTGGATAAATCTTAGCATAGTTAAGGAGAAAAATGGAGAAGGCTCTAATGATTGAAAGTGACATTTATCATTCAAGTAGCGTGGGTGATCATATATCTTTTGGTGTTAACATAGTGGCATGGAGTGCAACGTATTCGAGAATGTTTCTTCAGCCACAGTTTTAATCATCTGTATGCTAACATTCAAGTATTCGTTGTATTTGTTGTTTTCTGGACACAGTTACTTTATTTACAAAATATTAAACACAATCTCAATGCATCTTTTGGGAACCACACCCATCTAGTTCTTCAGGAGGTTGTCTGAAGAAATGACTCAGCGAAGATGGGAGAACATGCCTGTTTCTCAGACCATAGACCTTAACAGAGGCTCACAGGTATTTATGACATTCCTGATGACTGGACGTCTGCCTTCTTGGACCAGATAGATTTTGTTTAACATACCAGCACATGGGTCAGAAAGGTGGAGGCTTCATGGGGGTAGGTGGGAAGATCGGTGATAGGTCTCCAAGAAAGATTCAAGTGGTTAGGGTCTAACACCATGTAGTTAGAACATCTCATCAAGCTGCAATTTGGGGATTCTGCCTGGTCGGGCAAGCCAGTGCACTTATTGTCATGGTCCGACATCTAATGAAGTCCAGTTCAATCAGTTGGGAGGAGGAAGCACCACTTTTTAAATTTTTATATTTTATAATTATTTCATTAATAGCATAACTGATAACTTTTTGTACTAGAATAATGGGGGGAAATCAATTAGTAATACAGTTTGGCTCACAGCAGGCTTTGAGTCCTGTATTATTGCAAACAACTGAATTGTGGCCGTGTTTGGATGTAAGTGTGAACTGTTTTGTGTTGCACATCTGTGCTCTGAGCTTCTTGACTTTCCCCTCTCTTCTCCTCATTTAGAATAGCTATAAAGAGAAGACTGGAAGTTTTCCTTTCCATCTTTAACAAACTGATGTTTAGTTTCATATTCAAACCTGGACAATCTGTGGTTCATCTTAATTATGTTTTATTAAAAGAGTCGAACTTTGTTCTGTGTAGTTAAAATTAACAACATTTTAATATCTGAATGTAGCTCTAAAATGCAGCTAGCTAAAGCCAAAATCAAATATTTCCAATCTCTTTAAAGCCACACTAGACAAAAAAGGGACAGGTAGCCAGTGCAAAGCCCACACCAAGCAGTGATTTAGTGCTGCATTTGAGTGCACCCAATGCAAAAGATTTCACAAATATTACAAGATACAGGATTTTTAAATTTTTTATGTTAAAATAGTGATAGAGACCTCAAGACTTCTTTAAATAATTATTTATTTGATGTTGATTTTCAGACCGGAAGAATAAGAGCTGCAGGAATTGTAGGTATTGAGAGGAAATTAGAAGAAAGAAGAAAAGAGATGGATAAAAACATTTCTGAAGTAAGTAATTCTGAAATTCCATGATCAGAAATTTGTCTTAATTATTTTCAGTCATTTGTGTTTTCTTCTAGCTAAAATTGTGGTTCTTCAGTAGGTCTCACATACTCTGAACTCAGTATAGTTGGACATCATGCGCTTCTGTTTATAAACAGTGGCCAGAATAGTTTTGGAGTTCTGCTCCAGAGTAAATGAATTTGCTTCATTGTGGCAAATTGCAGCTAATTAACAGGGCGCCAGGTTATGTGCCAGTCATGCAACTGAGCATGGAACAAGCACCTTTTCAATTAGCTGTAATTTGCAACTGTGGTTTACATCATTTCATTTATTCTAGATTAAAATCCCAATAAGATTCTGGCCATTTAAAATAATTTTATTCAAATGTTTCTCTTTTAAGAAGAAGGCATATCATCCAGAGGCACAACTGTGTATGATCTGCACGTGCACTTAGAAAACTGTTGCAGGGAATTTCATTTAAATCAACTGAAAATCAGTTTTAAGATTTGTCAAAAGAATAGTTGTCTCTAATGAATCCTATATTGAGCAGTGGGTTGGGCTCAGTGAGCCCCAAAATGCTTTATAATTTTTTTTTTTTTTTGGTAATGCTAGACCATTATGTTTCACATTAATGAATGTGGGTGTCCCTCCTTTGGTTCTCACCTGGCATAGTCATGGCAGGATGAGACTGGACAATTTTGTTTCTCTTTTTATTGGCTACAATTTAGTACCTATTTAGCATACCTGTGGATTCATAAACTGTAGGTGTAGCTTATTTTACAAAGCCACATTCATAAACAGCTCTGTGAACTTGATATCTTGGACTAAATGATAGTTAAGATTCTCCACTATTTCTCTGGATGTGGATGTCAGAACAATCCCTGCTGAATATAAATCAAAAGTAAAAAGCTTTTAAACTACTCCTTGTAGCTTTACCAGAGGTAGGGGCACATGAGCTTCAGCGCATTCATCCATATAATACCATATAATGCATAGCAACTTAGCCTATATATACCTGCCTCTTCAGTGATCATTTCTGTTAGGACTTGTCCCATCTTCAACTCAACTGTTTGTTAACCTGAAGAGATTCATCTAGAACAGCGATTCCCAACTTTGGGTCCCCATATGTTCTTGGACTACAGTTCCCAGAACCCGTGTCCAGCACAGGGGTGAAGTTTTCTGGGAGTTTTAGTCCAAGAATATCTGGGGACTCAAAATTGGGAACCACTGATCTAAAGCTAGTAATCATTTGGATGGATTTTTTTTTTGAATGACAGACAGTAGATTTTTAAAATGGGGGTGGTGTGGGTGGTGTTTATGAAAGTGTGTGTCTGCATGTAGGGATTGAATTCGGGATCTCCTCCATTCATGGATTTTTGCAAAGGTTTTTTCCCATGCAGCTTTGCTCGTTTTTTACTTAGTTCTAGAAAAGAAAAAATGGAAGCCTCTTTCCTTAACCAAACTCTTCTTTGTTTGTTTATAGTATTTTTACCCCTCCTTTCTCCTTAAAAAGAACCTAAGGTGGCTTATATCAATTAAAGTATTGAAAAGCTAAAAACAGTAGGTATATAAATATTTAAAATAATTTTAAAAGTATTACATTAAAAATGGTAAATAAAATCAATACTATAATACATTTAAAACAACAGAGCACAACAATTCATTTAAAAAAACTCTCAGACCACCAGTTATTAAGGGAAAGTCTGCCTAAAGAGAAAGGTATTTGCCTGCTTGCTTCTATTGTAGGGACATCTTGTTTGTCCAGCATGAGTTTGTTGCTCAGAAAAATAAGATTTGTCCTTACCATCCGTTCATCTGTTGTATTAGAAGGTTCTTTGTGTAACTGGTACTGGCACGATGCCACTGGTAATGAATGAAAGAAAGGCACCTATTTTCCCTGCCTTTCTTTTGCTGTATTCAAAAATGTTTCATTCTTTACAGCAGAGTTGTTGAGCCTATTTGTTGACTACCTATTTATTTATTTATTTATTTATTTATTTATTTATTTATTTATTTATTTATTTATTTTATCCCGCACCATCTGGCAACCAGGCCAGTCTGGGCGGCTAACAACAATGTCAGCAACAATATTAAAACACGATAAAAAATAAATTAATACATAACCAAATAGGTTAAATTAAAACAGATGCTAATGAAGGTGGCAAAAAGGGGTGACGGAGAGAATGGCAAAAAGGATGGCAAAAGGGAGGCTGAGATCTTAATGCTCCGGGAAAGCCTGGTGGAAGAGCCAGGTCTTCAATGCTGCTTTGAACCCATCCAGCAAGGGTGCCAGGCAGATCTCAATAGGCAGGTTGTTCCATAGGCAGGGGGTGACCGCTGAGAAGGTCCGGTTTCTTTTTCTTTCACTTTGGGCCTCCTTCGGGATCAAAGCCCTCAACCGCCCTGCCTGTGAAGAACAGGTATTACGGACAGATTTGGCTGGGAGCAGGGATTCTGATAGGTACTGAGGTCCTAAACCGTTTAGGGCTTTGAATGTTATCATCATAACCTTGAGGTCGATGCGGAAACGAACCAGTAGCCAATGAAGGGTGGCCAGAGTGGGGGAGATGTGCTGGAATTTCTTCATCCCAGTTATTAATTCTGGACCAGTTGAAGTCTCCGCATCAGCCTCAAGGGTAGCCTCACGTAGACAGCACTGCAGTAGTCTATTCTTGAGATTACGAGGGCATGAATAAGCGTCATGAGTGCCCCCATGTCTAGATTGGGATGCAATTGGGCAATCCTCCAAAGATGGAAATGGGCTGCCTGGACCACAGATGCCAAATGATGGTGATAACAGTTGTTACCATCCCAAACCTCTGACCATGCTAGCTAGAGCTGAGGGAGGTTGATGGTCCAACAACATATAGAGGATTGCACAGATTCTACTCCTGGTTTAGAGGATGGATACCAGTAGGTCTACTCCGTCTACCTGCATTGCACTTTGAATGACACACAGTCCAGGTCTAGTGCAATAGAGCTTACTTTGAATGATACTTTGTAAAAGGGAAAACATGTTTGGCTCCAACCAACCCTCTTCAGTCCTTGGGGCAAGGATAGTTCCCTGCTGCCACTGGATCAGAGCTGGTTCAAATACCTTACCAAGAGAAAAACTGCAGACTTGTTAATTGTCAGAAGAAATCCTAGAAGTGTATTTTCAAAGATGTAGGGTGCTTCCATACATTGCTTCCAGGTTTGGGACGGGAGAGGAAGAAGGACTGAGAATTCTATAGACGTGAACACTTGTATTTAATGATTTGTTTCCTTGTATTTATAATGACCTGTTTTTGTTTATCACTTCTGGTTATTGTGATTTTTGTCCTTTTTCTTGTGGGATTTCAGCATTACCTTGTGTTTTGTACTTTGAATTACTGCATTGTAAAAGTTTAGTACAGTGGTGCCTCGCATAGCGATGTTAATTGGTTCCAAAAAAAACATCGCTATGTGAAACCATCGCTATGCGAAACACCATTTCCCATAGGAATGCATTGGAAACCGGTTAATCCGTTCCAATTGGAACGGATTGCCGTCGTTAAGCGAAAAAACCCATAGGAAACATCGCTAAGCGAAACAATGTATCCTCCATTGGAATGTATTGAAGCTGACTCAATACATTTTAATGGCTTTGCGAAGTCAATTTTTGCAATTTTAAATGTGTCATACAAGGGTCAAAATGGTTTTAAATGCTTGGATTAGCTTCTGCACCCTCTAAAACGGATGCAAAAGTTAATTTGGCTTTGATCTGACTTTTCATTAATTTATGGTGAATTTTTTCCCCCCAACTTTTGACAGCTGTCAAAATCTGACAGCTCCATTATTTCCTATGGGGGAAGAAAAAATTCACAAAAAATTAATGAAGACTCAGCAACTGTTCTAAATTCTTGGGTTCGTTAGAGGACCCCCTAAGTTGTGTGCAAACCTGATTTGGCTTTGATCTGAACTTTCGTTAATTTTTTGTAAATTGTTTTCTCCCCCATAGGAAAGCATGGAGCTGTCAGATTTTGACAGGTCCATTGGTTCCTATGGGCAAAAAAAAAAAATTCACAAAAAATTAACGAAAAGTCAGATCAAAGCCAAATCAGGTTTGCACATGACTTAAGGGGTCCTCTAACGAATCCAAGCATTTAGAACCGTTTTTGACCCTTCTAAGACACTTTTTTAATTGGAGAAAAAAACATCGTTAAGTGAAGCAGGGGACCTAAAATCGCATTCGTTATGCGAAGCATGGTCCCAAACTTCGCTAAGCGAAAATCGCCCATAGGAAACATCGTTATGCGATGCATATTATTTTCTAAAAAACACATCGTTATGCGAATTCATCGCTAAACAAGGCAATCGTTAAGCGAGGCACCACTGTATAAGAAACAGGAAGGGCAAGGGAAATAATGAACATTCTTCAGAAAGGAGTTGAACCATGGGAATATTTTATTTCATATTTTATAAGGCCCGAGACTGTGTCCTCTATTGGGATTAAAATCAAGTACCACACAACTTATTTGTGATACTTTGTAGACAGAAAGTGATTGCTTTCTTAGATAGGAGATTGATTCTTGGAAATAAACAGCATTTGTGCATTATGCTAAACAATGGTTTAGCGGGATTCCTGCCTTTTCGCATATTGCACAGCATAGTTTAGTGGGATGCATGCAAGCCACAAGAATCCACAGGTTTGAACATCCCCACTGCTTCTCTCGGCATTTATGACAGCTTTTATGGGTAGTTTTGTTACATCATAATTTATCCTTTTGTTTAGGACAAAATTATGAGGTGTGCAAAATACTGCATAAGGATGAAAAAACGATTTAACACAAGGCCAGTATCCTGCTTGCTTCTTTGGCTCCTGCAACAATTTATTGTGCAGTGGTTTGTCAATTGCGGTGCTTGTATAAGGAGGTGTCCCAAACTTCTTTATCCAAGTGGAAGCCCTGTTAGATTAAATGCATGTTGTCTGCTATCTTTGCTGGCATTATGGAGCGCTGCAGGTGGAACATTACACTTGTGGAAATTTAAGAGAATTCTAACTTTACTGTTTATTAGAAGCTCATACTTGACTCCAGAAGAAGCTTGCTATTTTCATGCAGATCAGGGTAACTCAACATCTTCATGCCAAATGTTTACTCGTCCCCTACTAAAATAATGAATTTGACAAATGAATAAATGGAAAAAAATTGAAGACATGCATGTTAATATGTATATAAAACCAGGGGGTGACTTACTATCATGTTTTTATGGAGCTTATGCAAAAATTAGAATACATAGCAACAGCTCTGTGTCTTTTGCTCCCCTTTTCTGCCAACACACAGTAAGTGAAATATGCTGTTTGGCATTTCATCACACTCCACGCTTCTCCACTCCCTCTCCTCATATCATTTTAAAAAAGTGGAGTTGGAAAAGGGCCTCTTGGAGTACAGCTGCTTCACATTGTATGGAGGAGACCCATGGACTGCTATTCCATGGCAGTCATGTACTCACGTAGTTCCAGTCTGTTTCTCCTCTTCTCTGTTGATCAGCCAATACAAGAAATCAAATGGTGACTGCTGGATGAGGAGAAGCATTGAAACCCTACTTGTTATAAAACAGTTAATTTCAGAACTGGTGCCTTGACATCTTAGCATAGGCTTCCTGCACCTGCTGGTTGCTGCTGATAAAAATAGATTCCCTTTGCTCTTTGTTTGCCTGAGGAAGTTCCTGTTAGGTGTGTGCACATTCTCCTTTGTACTCAGGCCTGGATCAGTCCGAGGAATAATTGTTTACAACATGCTTTTCATTTGCCTAGATCTGTTTTTCTCTTTTTGGCCAGGCAGTCTTTGTGCATGTTATGGAAACCATGTCTAAGATGCAAAAGACTTATTTTCACATGTCCCCATTTTAAAATACTACGTTTGGCAAATAAATGGGATGGGAAATGGAATAAAAGTAATTACATTACTTTCCTATTGAGCCATGATTGAAAACAGCCTATCCTCATATCTAAAATATGTGAGCCTCTTATCTCTAAATGCAGACGTGTGTTCTTCCATAAAACAGCAGGGTCTGTTTAGATCATGGGGCTGAGGAATATCATAAGATTAACTAGTGGTTAAGTACTGGTGTTAAAACACTACAGACTAATTCATTCTTCTGCGATATTTGAATTCAGAGAAAAGTAATTGATGGAATAATTATTGTAATAGTACAATTACACTTTCTGTCAGCCCTCTGTGTTTTATTATTCCAGGCTTTTGAAGACCTCAGCAAGCTAATGGAGAAGGTAATTTACCTCCTTTTTAAGAACCTTGATTCAGTCTAGATCTGCTCCCACCAGTCCAAAGAACCACAGGGGCGGGTGGGTTGCAGAAAACTGTGCGTGTCATGTTTTATTCTACAGGCATCACAGGCTGATTTGGGCTCAAGGTGCTACTTGCAGGCATGTAGAGAGTAGAGGGATGCGGGTTCTCAGCTCAGGTTATGCTATCTCATAAGGACGTGAAAGTGTGATCTTGTGTTAGAAGGACGCCAACAACAGCTGTGTATTGTGTCTCAATAGGCTAAGGAAATGGTGGAATTGTCCAAATCAATTGCTAACAAGATTAAAGAAAAGCAAGGAGACATTACTGAAGATGAGGTTGGTTAATGTTATAACACTTTTTGTTAATATTATACCACTAAATGCTCTGCCTGGATTTATATAGTTATAATACTTTCCATAACGGTGCCAAGCTCAGTGCTGGTAATATAACATTAAGCAGTGACCTGTGAAATAGCATTTCACCATTTTGCCATATCTATGTGTATATTACTTGTAGTTGGACAGCAGTATGCAGTCATTGACCCAGACATATAGGTACCTCTCCACAACAACACTGTTATTTGTGCATAATTTTTTCTGCCAAACTGGGCGACTTCCCCAAGACAGGATATCCTCTTAAGAAATCTGTCCAAGCTGTCATCAAGGATTAGTAGGCTGAGTGGCTTCCTTGCAGTAGGATCGTGTTGTTGGTAGAGAAAGGGAAAGTTAATGGAGAGCCAGGTACACCCTGTTCTGCAAGTAGGGAATCCAGTGGCTGCCTTTCCCTCCACATGCTAAGTCCAGCTTTCCCATGCAGTATTTCCACACTGGCTCCTGAAGAAGGAAGCTGCTCTTTATGAGGTCGGGGAAGGCACAGGCTGTCACCTTTTCCACTGAAGGCAACAGCCTAGCCTATGCAGATTCTGTGACTGGAAGTCTTTGGTCAGATGAGAGCATGGAATCCCCATTTTAGTAACATACCGTAGGTCCGCTCCTCCACTCGCTCTGTACTGGAGTGGGCTTTGCTCCTGTTTCCCCTACACCCAATTTCTGGTAATCCCCAGAAAGGGAGATTCCCAGTGGGAGTAGAAAACCCTAGTGCCAAGCTTCAAGTTTTGTTCTCGCCTGGGTTGAGGATAGTGTGCTGCCTGTCTGGGATTATGCCCCTTTAGGAATTGCACTGGCTGCCTTTTAGGATCCCAAGTATGGTGAGGCAATATGTTTGCTTTTACATTTATCATCTGTGGCATCTTTTAAGACAAGTAAATGTGTTTTATCAGGCAAGTGGCTTGTTTTCTTCTCTGGCACCACTGATTTAGGGCTTCTGTTTGGACATCACCATATTAATATAATAAAATGGTGGGATTCTCCTTTCCAATGTTTCAATCATTTTTTCTAATACCTACTTTCTATTATAAATATTACTTCTATAGATTTGTATTTGTCATTTATTTCAGTACATCAGTATCCTTTTAATACACATTATTATTTATTTTGCAGTGATTAGCGTAGAATCAAATAACTTGATATACCTGTGTTTTTCCCTCTTTTTTTAGACTATCAGATTTAAATCCTACCTGTTGAGCATGGGTATAGCTAATCCAGTTACTAGGGAAACCCACGGATCTGGTACACATTACCATATGCAGCTGGCAAAGCAATTAGCAGGAATTTTGCAGGCACCTTTAGAGGTAAAGTACTGATCAATCTCTATTTGAAACATGTTCTATTGCAATCATATATATTAGTGGTGGGAATTTCTACACACTGTCCCACTAAGCCAGACCCCATTCACCCTTCCTTCATGTTTCTCTCTGTTTACTGTGGGAAGGAGCTTCCCTTTTTCAATGTGCTGACAGGATATGCAGGAAGACTTCCCCTCTCTCATTGTGCAGAGAAAAAAAAAAAACAGAAAGAAATCAGTTGCACAGCTGACTGTAAGAAGCGGGTGCTCAGTCCCTGCAGTGGTACCTTTCCCCACCCACCCCCAAGAGAGAATGTGAGCAAGAGAAGAAGTGGGGAGACAGGAAGAGGTGGCAAAGAAAATGGAGGACAGGGAAGCAAAATGTATGTATGTGTTTGTGGATATTTGTGCGAGAGGTATACCAACAGGATACAGCTCAAAGATGGTTAGCTATTGTAAGGCCTGTTGGTATTTCTTTAAAAATCCAGAATATATAGCTTTTTAATTTTAGCTGTTAAGTGGTTTTTGAATTGTTTCTTGCGTTCCTACTTAGTAATTGAAATGTGTATCTTCCTCTTGTTAATGTACCGATTTGGGAGACTATATACTTTCAGCCCGTGTTCTCAAATAATAAATTGTAGGTGTATGCATTGAGAGGCTCTCTTTTAAAACTGGTTGTAAGGTTCACAGTGGACTTAAGTCAATTAAGAAAATAATGTGCTAAAATTAACAGCCCTCTGGTACCCGTTTATTTTAACTCGCTTCCTAAGAAAATAAAATGAGTCAGAGGAAAATGAATACACACCAAGGTTCCCTCTAAGGTGCATAGCTGTATGAGCATGCACAACTCTACCTCCCTCCGCTCAGTCTTCGTCCTCCTTCACACACTGACAGCAATTGTTTTCAGCCCCTTCAATTCTGGTCACGACGGAAAGTAGGGAATCATGTGCACTATGGGTAGAGCCCTGCGGGGCTGAATCTTAGAGGGAACTTTGATACACACTTTGGAATTCATTGTGTGAATGTGAAATTCAGCACAGTTTCAAACACAGATCAAATCTAAAGTTTTTGCCTGTGTGATTAGGCTTTCAGCTAAAGGAATTTTCCTCGAGTGCATGGAGGTATCAGTCAAGTGAAGATGATAGAAAGAGTACAAAACTTTACAAAATGATTTACAATAAGACAAGTGAAGTGGAAATTTGAGAAACAAATTTATAAAGTTGTTTAAAATTTTTTAATTTCTTTGAATACTGTACTTCAGAAGTAATAATCTGTAACGTGGACTATAAAATGATGGAAGTGAGAGAGGTGTTAGTGGAAAAAAAACAGAGGAAAGGTTCATTAACTCTATGTTGGTCTTCACTGCGAGTTGCACTAGGGATGTACTGACACCAGATTATTGATTGGGAACCACTTTAATAATAACTTCAAACAGGCCAGAGAAAAGAGAACAGTTTTAAAATAACTGAAAATTTTGTACAACTGCTTGTATCCTTGCAGACAGTGCCATTTTTGTTGTGGGTTTTTTGGGCTCTTTGGCCTTGTTCTGAAGGTTGTTCTTCCTAATGTTTTGCCAGTCTTTGTGGCCAGCATCTTCAGATCATCTTGTAGCTGGGTAGAGTTCGTTGACCTTTTGCAGGCTTTATTTTTTAGTGCTGGGAGCCAGGCTTTGTTGAGTTTTAAACTTTCTTCTTTTTTGTTGATGCTCTACTGGTATTTGTGGATTTCAATGGCTTCTCTGTGCAGTCTAACATAATGATTGCTGGTGTTGTCCAGTATTTCAGTATTTTGAAATAAAAGTTCATGTCCAGCTTGTTTTAGGGCATGTTCAGCTACTGCCGATTTTTCTGGTTGTTTTAGTCTGCAGTGTCTCTCATGTTCTTTGATTCTGCTGTGGATGCTGCATTTTGAGGTTCCAATATATGCCCGGCCACAACTGCAAGATATCTGGTATACTCCTGCAGTGATGAGGGGGTCCCTTTTGTCCTTTGCTGACCATAACATTTGTTGTATTTTTGTGGTGGACTTGAATGCTGTTTGTAGGTTGTGTTTTGTCAAAAGTCTCTCCATGCGGTCCATGACCCTTTTGATGTATGGCAGAAATGCTTTATTTGTGGGTGGCTGTTTTTTCTCTTCAGTTTGGTGTTGCTTTCTTCGTTTGATGGCTCTTGCAATTTCATTTTTGAAGTAGCCATTTGCCTGGAGGGCCCAATTCAGATGGTTGAGTTCAGTGTTGAGAAATTGAGCTTCACAGTTCCGATTTGCACAGTGTACCAGTGTTTTGATTATGCCTCTTTTTTGAAATACCAGCAATCATCATGTTAGACTGTGCAGGGAACCCATTGAAAACCACAAACACTAGCAGAGCATCAACAAAAAAGAAGAAAGTTTAAAACTCAGCAAAGCCTTGGTCCCAGCACTGAAAAATACAGCCTGCAAAAGGTCAACAAACTCTACCCAGCTACAAGGACCAGTGATCACGGCACACAAAAGACCAGCTAATGACTCCCATCAATCACAGTGACAGATAATCTCTCCCTCTGATCACAACAATAAAACCACAACAAAGAACACACTGATCACCGCAATCACCCATCTACTGAAAAGTACAAAAGCTGATCCTGCAGCTATAAATACTCAACTATCCAAACAAACTGCACCAGAGCACAGTCAGAGTTCTGACTCCTGTCCTCTGAAGATGCCGGCCACAGAGACAGGTGAAATGTTAGGAAGAACAACCTTCAGAACATGGCCCAAGAGCCTGAAAAACCCACAACAACCATCAGATTCAAGCTGTGAAAGCCTTTGCAAATACAGTGCCGTTTTTAATTAATCTTTTTGCCTGACAGCTAGTCAGACAGCTAGTCAAATTTGCTTGCAGACAGCATGTTACATATTCTAAACTGACTTTGAATCACTGACTGTAAATCTCAATGACCTTATACCAACAGGAGCGTGGAGGAATCATGTCACTCACAGAAGTATATTGTTTGGTGAATCGTGCTCGAGGCTTAGAGGTGAGAAATCGGTATCTCGGTGAGCCTCTAGCAAAACCAGCTTAATACATTTGCATTTCTTCAAGTAGAGAAGGAATCAAGTAATGTCTTCTTATAGGAAAAATGTCCCTTTTGGTGTCTCTGTTTTCTTTTTGCTAAGCTCTTATGAAGGTAGTGCTAACAGGATAATCTTTGTTTAGTAATGTTCTAAAGATCAGTGGAATGGAGAGAAGAGAAATTATTTATTGAAGAAATTAGAGTTTTGGTCCTGTACATTTTACCAGATGCATACATCCTATGGATCTCTTGAAGATTCACTACCAAAGAGAGATGCATGGGACTTAAGTATCAGACCTTAGGATCCTATAGTGAAAGAGTAGACAGTTTTTATAAAGTGAAAGCTGATATACAAAATGAACTGCTGGGAGTAACTCATGTAATATATAAACCTCAAATGAAGGGTTGAGCTCTATCCTGAAGCCATGGGAGTGTCTACAAGTTAAAAAGACATTGAGTGAATGGAGAAGCTGTAGAGATTCATACTCTGTTCATAGGGGAGATCATTTGCATCACGGCCAGAATAGTTATTACTCACATTGCAACAAATTACAACAAATGCCATAAGGAATATGTTTTGAATTGCACAGATGTCCACATCACATTGCCAGGATCTTGCTGCAGAATAGCCAACTGCTCCAGAGAGACTGTTTGCTTCCAGCTATTGTGCACTTCCAGCTGAGGTCTACAAGATGAGAACATGCTACATTATTTGGCTTGAAACAAATAACTCAAGTAGTATGTAGCATTTTATTCCACTCATGCAGGAAAATACCCTGCACTTCTTTTCATAGCATATTATTCGGTTGATTTTCTCTGATACTGCAGACTCTCAGCAAAATAGGGAGAAACACCATCGCCTTTGGACTCCGTGCAGTATCTCAAGGCAGTTTTTGCAGCCTACAAGAAGTATCACTTCCTTGACTGCTTCTGAGCAACAACAGCAGTCACTAAAACCCACACCCAGAACATCAGTGCCAGACCTCCAGCTCTCCCAGAGCTGTTCTTCCACCCACTCCAGCTGTGATCATGGTTCTTGGTGTGTTAGAGACTGCCAGTGAAACATCTAAAGATACTGCTTAAAACTGTATTTAAGCGATTGGGTACAGCCCCACATGGATGCTGGTGCCTACTTGATATTGGCCAAAATCTTATCACTTTGCTTAGAAAATCACATTAGAGTAGGTCCCTTGAATCAATGAGAATTTGATGAGTCCTGTGTAAGTTTTACTGATTCAAATGGGCCTACTCTAGTTGTGGCTTATTACACTAAAGTACGTTGCAACTAGAGCAGGCCTATTTGAATTAATGGAACTTATAGAGGAGTTAACTGAACAAATCCCCATTGATGCAATAAGCCTGCTCTAGTGCAGTTTATTATGCTAAACAACAGAATTTTGGCCACAAACTTGTAGTTTGAGGACCAATGTCATTTTGACGTTTGCATGTTTAGGTATAAATAGCCATGTGCACTACATACAAAACAGTCCTACCTGTATGCTTTTCCCTAGAATTTCTTTAAATAACACATTGTTTTCATGATGAATTGAAGTTGTAATACAGTACATACAAGCATCACTAATACTTGAATTGCTAGTTGAGTATCATACTCAGGTACTCTCAGACATACAAAAAATCTGCTAGAACTAGCCTTGAACAAGTTATATTTGCAATGTAATTATGTACTTGTGTGTGTTTTTCCCATTAGTTGCTCTCACCTGAAGATCTAGTAAATGCTTGTAAGATGTTGGAAGCGTTAAAATTACCTCTGAGGTGAGAATCTTTCAAAACTTGATTTTAAAAATACATTTAAACAGAATAATTCGTTTTGTTTCTCCATATTTTACTTGATGGCTTTGTAAGATTCTGGGGAAAGCATCTGCAGGAGTAAAAGATTTAGAGCTAGGAAGCAACAAAAAATAACCAGGCACATGTGTGGATAAAAGTGGGGGGGGGTACATTTCTGTGGTCCAGCCGTCTGTTTTCAGAACAAGCTTGAAAAGAAATTCTTGCAGATACATGTGAACAGCAGTTGTGATGTGGTGTGGCCCATTTCTGAAGATCACAAATAAGACATTTCTTCCATCATAGGGCGATCTCCAATCTGCTCAGGTGTAAAGAGCGTTTTGATCCTCATTGTTTGGAGAGCTTAGAGGAAATTGGAAAGGCTGCACTGCTGTCTTGTGTGTTTGAGGCCATAGAAACCACAGTAGACAGCTGGGAACTTTTTACTGCCATTATTCCTGTAGCATCAGTATGACACACACAGAGTAGATGGATAGTATTTTTCATGTTACCTCCACAGTAGGAAAAGTCTCAATACTACGAAGTTGTTCTTGTCAGATTACTGTAAAAGGCCATTACAAAACATGGACCATTCTGTTCCTTAGCCATAGGTAAGAGAGAATCTTGATTTGACCTTTATATTTACTGAGATTTTTTCCTGTAACTAGTTTTGTTTTATTGCCTAAGTTTATAGAGCATTAATGCTGTGTGTATGTGTTTTTCTTTGAAAATAAACTAGCTCTATAACATGTGAAAGACCGAGAACTAAACAGTTGACAATGCAATTTCTATGTGGGAATGGAATGCTGGCAGTTTGGTTGCGATAAAACATAGCGAAGCCAAAGACATCACAGATGGTAAATGCAGCTTGAGACAAAGGGCAGAATCCTACTGGTGTTCGTGTAAAGTCTGAATGCCTTGCTGTGGCTAATTGCAGCTTATTAGCAAGGTGCTGAAGTGTGTCCCAGTCATGTGCCTTACTGTGCACTGAGTTCCACAACCAAGATGTGCCTCGGGACCTTATCAGTTAGCCATAATTGACTGTGGCAACTGATTCAAACCTTACACAAACACCAGTAAAATTCTGGCCAAAGAATCAAAACAAAGGATGCAGACTACGCAGTCACCGGGGGATGGGGGTCAGGGGAACCCTCATAGGCAACCGTCGAGTCTATACCCATTTTTAACCTCTTTGGCCAGAAAACACATGTGAAGGATGGTTGGTGGAGAATTAAGTTTGATCAGGGGAGGCAGACCATTAAAACAAGAAGCCGATGAAACAGGGGGCGGGGATAGGATATGTATTATTGAGGACAGGAGGAATATTATGAAGGCAGTTTTAAGATGGCTAAAGGAAGTAGAGCAAAGTAAGCCATGGCAGAAAAACGTTCTAGTGCAGCATTGGTGAACCTATGGCACGTGTGCCACAGCTTGAAAAACAGGGTCTAGTGCAGCATCGGCGAACCTATAGCACGTGTGCCAGAGCTGGCACACACAGCCCTCTGTGTGGGCACCTGAGCCATAAGTCACCATCGAGAAATACTTACCCGTCCTCTGATCTCGGATTTCGGCACTCCCCTCTGCTGGTGCAGTGGTCCAGCAGAGGAGAGCAATAGCAACCATTACCGGTCTAGCCCAATGGGGGATTGGAGGACCAGTAAGTATTTCTTTGTTAATACCGCCCATGGGGGGGGGGGGAGAGCAAGCATTTAACCCTTGCAGTGCAGGAGCAGTTGTTTTTTCTAAACTAAAACATCAGTATTCGGGTTTTAATTGCAGTGTTGACACTTTGAAATAAGTTGATTTTGTGTTGCAGTTTGGGCACTCAGGCTCGAAAAGGTTCACCATCACTGGGCTAGTGGAAAGCAAGGGTAATAGTGAGAGGAGGAATGAAGAAAGGGAAAAAGCCAAGGACTGCACCCTTTTGAAAGAAATTGGGCTGGCATGGGAGCACTGAAGATAATCAACTGGGAATTACTGAGTTGCTAGAGCTACTGGTTATACAGTATTAATGTACCCTAGCCTCGGGTACTGTATATGTTGTGGACTATTAACGGCCATTATTCCTAGTCAGCCTAGGATTGTGAGAGTGCTAGTCCAGTTCTAGAGTCCTACAAGACTCTAGCTTGGGAAAGTTTGGTTTTAATAGATTGAGGCAGGCAACTACAACTCTCCATCCTGTGTCTATCAGCCCTAGCCAGAATAGCCAGCAAGTTGGATTTATAAATCCTACAGAAGACCACCTGCCAGAGTATAGACTGATAGGTAATCGTGCATGTTGAGAATCATACTGTTTCTGCAGTATTTTCCCGTGGTGTTTGTAAAGGGACAACAAAGGAAAGCACTCAAGTAGAGTTAAGTTTTGTATTTGAACTAACAAGTGAAATTCTTTGGCTGTAGCATTTTAGGTCTGATTCATATTTTTTATCTTCCCCCCCCCTTTCCTTTTTTGCGTTTAGGTTACGTATATTTGACAGTGGTGTTATGGTGATTGAACTCCTGTCCCACAATGAAGAGGAAATGGTGGCTTCTGCTTTAGAGACCGTATGTCAGCTTTTCTCCTCTTCAGCAGTCAGTCAAGGAAACAGTGATTTTTTGTTAGTGCCAGGCTTCAAAGATAGGGAGCTTCCTGTTCAGAGAAGATGTTCCTAATCCACATTTGCTAATCCCATGCCCACCGAGACCCACAGGTTCAAACCTGCAAGAGGAATCAGCCCTCTTCAGGCACTGATGCAAAGGGAATACTTAGGTGTTCAGGGGGAGCACTCTAGCACTCTGTCCTTGTTGTTTCTGTGACCCTGAAGGCACGAAGGGCAGTGGGTCTGGAGAGAAAAACCTCTGCTCTTCCTTGTGGGGAATCTCTGCATTAGCTGGAGCTGTGGTGCTCCCGGACAGATGATGAGTGTTGGCATCCATCTGTTTTGGATTTGGCATATCCCACCACAACTGCGATGAATCTATAGTGGTATCTTCATTTACCTATTTTATTTAAAGTGGTTTGTGGCACTGTAATAATAGATGATTTCTGTAGTGTTTTCATCTTTGTTCCCTCTTGTTTATTTTGGGGGGGGGGATACTTTTTGAGAGTTTTGCCAAAAGGCCTTAACAGCAATACCTAATGTTTTTGCAATTTCAAACTGTTTAAACTTTGCTTCTTATCCATTAGTTGAGTGTTCTTTGTTTTTAAAACTCCAATGTTTTTAGAATGGATTTGTTTCTAAGATTCTCATTACATGCTTGCGAAGCAGGAAGGCCTGATATTTGACCCAGAGATTAGAGCTATAGGCCTTGCTTCAAAAGCCTTCCTGTTACTGTGTTGATGGGCAAGTGTAAATTGAACTCACTGGAAGTACAGTATATGTATTTATAAAATCTTCATACTACCATGTTTCCCCAAAAATAAGATAGGATCTTATATTAATTTTTGCTCCAAAATGCATTAGGACTTATTTTCAGGGGATGATTTAATTTTTTAATGTGCAACAACCTACATTTATTGAAATACATGGTTGCTGCACAATGGTGGAGGACGGGGTTTCACTTCACTGGGGCTTATTTTTGGGGTAGGTCTTATTTTCGGGGAAAACAGGGTATATGATGAGTATCATTAAATTTTGCACCACACTTTGTATCTGTCCTTTTCTTCCAGAAGCACTGGTTGAGTTTATTTTCCCCTACCCCCTCTTTCCCGCCCCCTTGCTTGCAACTCTGGGAAACAGGTTAGGCTGAGAGAGAAAGATGGACTTTCTGAGACTTGGGGGTGGGGGGAGGAGCCCCTATGAATGGATTTGATGCTGGCCTGCCAAATTCAATGCCCAGCATTTTGTCCTGTGCCATTTTACAGGGAGATGGCCCATATTCCATGAACACACACATTGTTTCCCACAGCATGTGAGAAGCCATCAGTGGCTGTCCTGTGGCACAAACTCATTTCATTTGTTTTTAAATATATGTCTCTCTGGCTCTTGTGCACTAGAAATTATGTGGCATATGCAGACCTTTTGTGCTGATTTTCATGCGTGAAATCATCTGGATTTGTCAAATCTTCCTTTTAGAAGAGCTTTTGTGCAGGCAGCTGTGACTTTGTGGCATGACCAGGCATCATTAAATTGCAGACATGCTGCCACAGAGTAGGCAACAAGGCTTGGTGATCTATGGCCATCCCCTAGCTCTTTCATCCTAACAATATGGAGGATTGCAGGGCACTTTCCTGAAAGTATGTGCTGTTGAACTCGGTGGAGCTTACTTCTAAAAAAACATGCATATGGATCCACTGTTATTTTATCTAGCAATGTCTAAATTATCTAGCAATGTCTAAATGCCAGGCATATTATGTGAGAAGCTGGCTAGATAGCTGAATGAGTGTTGGCTGGCTGACACTAGAGCCAGAGGTTGGGAGTTTGTTTCACTAATTTGCTTTTCGGGGAACAGCCAGCCTTTGTGATCTTGGGCAAGCTGCATAGCCCCAAAGCACCCCATAACAATAGAACGCTAAACCGCTTCTGAGTATTCTCCACTAGAAGACCATAGAAAGGGTTGTTGTAAGTCAAAGTCATTTCACTCATTTCACACGCTAGCAAGGTTATGCTGTAAATCCAACAAGGTAGGCTTCAGCAGTATGTGGACCGAGAACTCCCAGAAGTACAAGCTGGATTTTGAAGGGGCAGAGGAACTAGAGACCAAATTGCTAACATGCACTGGATTATGGAGAAAGCCAGAAAGTTCCAGAAAAACATCTACTTCTGCTTCATTGACTATGCGAAAGCCTTTGACTGTGTGGACCACAGCAAACTATGGCAAGTTCTTAAAGAAATGGGAGTGCTTGACCTCCTTATCTATCTCCTGAGAAATCTATACGTGGGACAGGAAGCAACAGTTAGAACTGGATATGGAATAACCGATTGGTTCAAAATTGGGAAAGGAGTATGACAAAGCTGTATATTGTCTCCATGCTTATTTAACTTATATGCAGAATACATCGTGCAAAAGGCAGGAGTGAATCCCAAGTCGGAATTAAAAAGAAGAAGATATGGAGGCAGTGACAGGTTTTACTTTCTTGTGCTCCATGATCACTGCAGATGGTGACAGGAACCACGAAATTAAAAGACGCCTTCTTCTTGGGAGGCAAGCAATGACAAACCTTGACAGCATCTTAAAAAGCAGAGACATCACCTTGCCAACAAAGGTCCCCATAGTCAAAACTATGGTTTTTCCAGCAGTGATGTATGAAAGTGAGAGCTGGACCATAAAGAAGACTGACCACTGAAGAACTGATGCTTTTGAATTGTGCTGGAGGAGACTCTTGAGAGTCCCCTGGACTGCAAAGAAAACAAACCTATCCATTCTGAAGGAAATCAACCCTCAGTGCTCACTGGAAGGATAGATCCTGAAGCTGAGGCTCCAATATCTTGCCCATCTCATGAGAAGAGAAGACTCCCTGGAACAGCCCCTGATGTTGGGAAAGTGTGAGGGCAAGAGGAGAAGGAGATGACAGAGGATGAGATGGCTGGACAGTGTCATTTAAGCAACCAACATGAATTTGACCAAACTCCGGGAGGCAGTGGAAGACAGGAGGGCCTCGCGTGCTCTGGTCCATGGGGTCACAAAGAGTCAGACACGACTTAACAACTAAACAACAACAACAAGTCAAAGTCAACTTTGTGGCATGTACCTATTATATTATGTGATCTCGTTAAGGTTGTTTCTATCTTAATAAAATACTTTACAAGGGGAAGCATGTACAAATGCTCAGGGTAAAGCAGTTGTTGAATCTACTATAATTCTTAGTTGTTGAATCTAATATGCACATGAAGACTGAAGTATTACCGCTTCAAAGAAAATCCCATGCTCACTTTTTTCAATAGTTAAATAAATAGTGCAGTCCTATGGATGTTTGCTCAGAAGTAAGTCCTAGTAGGTTCATTTGAATGTAATGCTCAGGTAACGGTGTACATTTGTAGTCTTAAGTGCAGGACACAGGAGGTTTAGTTACGTGCCGTTAAGTCGGAACCAACTTATAGCAACTCAAATAGTGAGATATTTAAGGATGGTTCCAGTTCCACCTCCCCACAGAGCTTCCATGACTGAGCAGGAATTTGAGCTTGGGCCACCTGAGTCTTTGTCCATCACGCTTGTCTTTTACACCACACGGGGTATCCATGTGGCAGTAGCACGTATAATTTTAGGACTGCTTGATTTTATTTTAAACAAGATAAGCTGCTAATTTGCTAAGTACAGTGGTGCCTCGCATAGCGAAGTTAATCCGTTCGAGATTAACCTTCGCTATAGCGAAACATCGCTGAACGGGACAGGGAAAGCCATTGGAACGCATTAAACATCGTTTAATGCGTTCCAATAGGCTCCTTTACTCACCATTCAGCAAAGTTTCCTATGGCCGGCAGCCATTTTCGCGCCCTCGTTAAGCGAGGGGAGGGCGCGAAAACGCTGCGCGCGGCCATTTTGGGGCTTCCGGTGGCCATTTTGTCCGCCGAACAGCTGATCGTCGGGGCTTCGTTTTGCAAAGATCGCTTACCGATCTTCGCAAAGCGAGTTTCGCCCTATCTAAAAGTCGTTGAGCGATCGCATTAGCGATCCCAAAAAAGGGATCGCTATGCGATTTCGTCGTTGTACGGTGCGCTCGTTAAGCGAGGCACCACTGTATGTCATAATAATTCTGGTTGATTATAAAGTGTGCTGCTTATTATGTCTTATGTTTATTATTATTTTTAAAAAACTTTTTACATTATGAAGTTTATATTGTTATTTTTGGTCATATGTCAGTACACTCACCTGAACAAATAAACAACCATGAATCATCCAAGCTTAGGATGCATTGATGAAACTATACTTGTAGACACAAGAGAAGACCAGCAAGATAGTATTAAAGTGGTTTTTTTCTTTACATCTTAGGTGTCTGAGAAGGGATCTCTTACAGCAGAAGAGTTTGCAAAGCTTGTAGGAATGTCTGTACTTTTGGCCAAAGAAAGGTGAGTAATAATAAACCTTGCTCTTTTGAACAACTCAAATGCAGATCAAGATAATATAAGTACTTTTCCTCCTTTTTCTAGGCTGCTACTAGCTGAGAAGATGGGCCAGCTTTGCAGAGATGATTCTGTAGAAGGCTTGCGATTCTATCCAAATCTATTTCTTACACAAAGACCAGCAAGATAGTATTAAAGTGTTTTTTTCTTTACATCTTAGGTGTCTGAGAAGGGATCTCTTACAGCAGAAGAGTTTGCAAAGCTTGTAGGAATGTCTGTACTTTTGGCCAAAGAAAGGTGAGTAATAATAAACCTTGCTCTTTTGAACAACTCAAATGCAGATCAAGATAATATAAGTACTTTTCCTCCTTTTTCTAGGCTGCTACTAGCTGAGAAGATGGGCCAGCTTTGCAGAGATGATTCTGTAGAAGGCTTGCGATTCTATCCAAATCTATTTCTTACACAAAGTTAATACCATGCTTCTGTTTTCCCTTATTCGAAACACATTTGCTTCATTTAATCTGGTCAGAAGGATGCACAAATAATGTATCTTTTGTTCACTTGATGCCATGATTTAAACAATAATGATGCATTTTCATTGATGGGGGTGGCCTTATGTGGTGGAAAGAGAAAAGAGACAATGAAAGCTTATAGAAATCATGGCACTCCCGTTATTTTCTGGTCTTTTGTGTTAAATCTCTAGGAGGTTTTGGGGTTTTTTAAACGTGCTGCTTTAACCCTCATTTTTCTTTATGGAGTATGTAAAGAGATACAGAAAAGAAGGGATGTTAGCCTGTTTATGGTGGCCTGCCTGTAAAGATGTACAAAGCACAAAGTGTAGTATTTGGTTACTGTATTTTTTCCTAGACTCTTTTAAAACCCTGGATTTTGGATCTGTAACACTGAAATAGTAATATATCAGCACAATAACTGGTGCCAAAATAACTCAAAATAATATTGACTCTGCTTGCTCTTTCCATTTGTTATTGCATAATTTCCTCAGGAAGTATCCACATTTTAGGAACAAAACCACACTGTGTACATATGTGCATAACCCTTCTTCAGAGGGAAGGATTAGCCTCGGTAATGAAAAATGTAGAGATGTGTGTGCTGCTTTGAACTGGACGTTAAGACAAGAAGCATTGTGAACTCAGATTTCCTTCCTTCTATTCTTTGGTTCTTAGCTCCATGAAGTTGCTATTTTTGTCTTCCATTTTGCATAGCTGTGCAGGAGAACATTCTGCCATCTGCCCTTTAAAATAGTACAAGGAATTGTTTTCTTCATTCTATCAATATATTCAACTGAACACCCCCTCATTATCTTGGTGGAAGTTATCACTGTGCTCATTTCTATATTTAAACAATGGAACACAAGCTACATACTACAAACACCAGTATTTCCATCCCAGGAGTGTTGTATATTGGCTTCGGGCTTGAGAACAGCAGCAAAGATTTTTGCAAGCACTGTAAGAACTTAACTAGTTTTATTTGACATATGTTTTGGTGGACTGCAATCCATTTCATCAGATACATGGAGTATTATCTGAGTGCACAGATATGCACATGGTTGGATGAAAAGAGGACTGTCGAGTCATGAGGCAGTGACTGTACAAAAGGCACAAACACTGATAGTGTTTATTTAACAGTGACTGGGAAGTGATAAGAACATCCTAAATCAGGGTGGTCAGAGTGTGGTCCATGGTCTTATTTGGTGTCTCAACACTCTCCAAAAATGTGGGCCATGAAAATGGCCCATTGAAACCACAGAAGCCTCTAATGCTGCAGCTGGACATTTTGCCACACCATACCTGTTTAATAACCGAAGGCTTTTCTTCTAAGACCAGAAGTAACTTCTAGTTACTATTTTAGGACTTCTAATCCTGATTTTTTTTTAACCTATGGCTTCTCTGGGTCTAAATTCTCCTAAGTGACCACATTGTGGTCCTAAGAATTAAAACGTACTTTTACGTACTTTTAAATGTTAAATTCCTTTGCATTGTTTTCTTTGTAGCCCATACTATGGGCTGAGATAATGATTTTTTCCCAAATTGGGGGGGGATAAGCTGCCCCAAAATGCCACATACAGAATCAATGTGTCCCTCTAGAGTCCCAGGCACCAATGAAAGCCCCCGACCCCTGAAATGTGTCCACCCTTGTCCTAAAGGTCTTAGCAAGTGTCTTTAAAATGGCTTTTAAAGACTTTCCCCCCCGAATTCATAATTATCTCTTCAGTTCAATTCAGTAACATAATGATGAATGCTGAAATAGTGGTGGTTATTTTTCCTGTTGCTGCACTTTAAAAATAATAATAATATTGTCCCCACCCTCATATTTTGTTGAACTTATGGTCATCTGAACCAAATGTTCCACTGTGTTTCTTGGCTGCTGATTTTGTACCTTCTATTTTTTGTTATTAAAGTGTATTACTCTCTGGGGCATATTCTTATTCGGAAAGAATATGCTGTCCAGTTACTGTTGACAAACCATTTCAGAATATTCCCATGATCCTAAGTAACCATGTTTGAAGTAACCAGCTCTATTGTGAAGTTCTTGATCTGAATAAACTCCTGTGCTTTTGAAATGTAGTTGTCTGTGTTTGACATTATCTGTCTGGAGTGTTTTTGGTGTGAATTGAGAAGACTTGAGTAATCTTCTAAAACGGGTATGTCAGTTTCATCCTGCACCTTTACTGGATATACTGTAAATGGAAGCTGGTGTTTTCATCCATGTTGCATCCAAATGAGCTGTCCTTTAAATGTAATTTGTGAGCTGTAATTAAAAAGTTGGCATGCCAATAGAATTAACAGCTGAATAGAGGCGCTGAGTGTGTTTGGCTTTGCTTGTATATTTGGAAGCTTGCATATTTTAGAGAAGCAGAGCCCCCTTGTTTTCTGTGCATCCTGGATGAAAAGTATGCGTGGCATTGGGGTGTAACAGGAATGGCAGTGAAGTACAAGGGTCGGTGTGTTCCTGACAGATGGGAACAGGGCATTATTAATTTTCCTAGAGACGCGAGATCGACTCAATCCAGCAAGAGTCATTCCCAAATAATTGTGTTCCAGGAGCACAGTGGACGCTGTTCGTTCCTCCTTCCCGCCTCCTTGAAACGTCTGCCTCCCTCGCTCTTCCTTGTCAATGTGATGTTCGCCCTCAGCCCTCTCCCCGCGCGTCTATAAACCGGGGCAAGGGGGCTGCTCCGTATCTCCCTCTGTTTCCCTCCTTTCCCCCTCTTGAGGGGACAGCTGGCCACCGTTGGCCGTCCCCGAAGTGCAGCAAAGAGAAATGCCGCGCTTCCCTGGCCGCGAAAACAACACCCCGAAGACCGCCCGTTTCCCGTGGCGGGCAGGATGCCCCTCGCTCCCTCCCTCTTTTCCCGAGCCGGGGCTGGGCGGCTGCGCTGGCCCCCTCCAACAAGGCGGGACAGACAACCGGCCGCCCTTCCCTTCTCCGCGCCCCGCCCGCCACGGGAGGCGCCTCTCTGCACGTTCCCCAGAGTCCCCACCGGGCGAAGAGGCTTTGGGGTCTGGGGCGCGTCTCCCTCAGCGAGGCTGGCGCTCCAAGACATGAGCCCCGCGGAGCTCGGAGGAGCAGCCGGCCAGGGGACCTTGGCGCTGCCCCTCGGGCCCCGCGCCGCCTTCACCTGACGCTGCTCCTGCCTTTGGGACCGCAGTCCCCCGGGAAAGGGCGAGGCGCGTCGAGGCACACACCCAACACAATACACACACACACACACCCCCAATAGACGGCATGGTCGAAGCCGCGCTTTCTGAAGGAAAAGTTTGGACTCCGGGAAGGGCTGGTTCCGGAGCAAAGCGGGAAAAGCCAGCCAGCCGCTGGCACCGGTTGTTTCCCAGGCCATTTCTTTCCTGTCCTCGCTAGCCTTGTCTTTCTCCCGACCGAGCGCGGAATTCTCGTAGGAGAAGAAAAGGAGGACACCCTACTTCTCAATGGAGTAAGTATACACTTAGTTACCAATGGCTGGTTCTTCGGTTGAGGAGTAAAGAACAGGAAAAGCAAAGTGAGGTGGATTTTATCTTAAAAGTACTCTACTCGGCTAGGTGTCCTGCCTCCGAGAACTGCAGCCGACTTTAGGCTCCAGAGGAGAAGCTGGTTGCGGTAAAAGGTTGCCCTCCACGAAGCGCCGCGGGAATTACTTTTGTATAAACATGTACAGAATTTCTTTGCCATTAAAAAAAAAAAGAATTCCAAAAGAATTTTGTTCCTGAGACAGTTTTGCAGACTTCGTGGGGAGGAATCACTATTTGAATTGCACCTGTCCTTCCAGTACATTATTAGGTGTAGCCCTGCAGTGAGTCTGTTAATGTGTGGGTGAATTAAAAAAATGTTTGTGTTAACTTTTTAAACCTCATTCTGACCTTCTCAATTTAATTTCCTTTTCTCCTTGTTCTTCCTCCTGCCATATTTATTTATTTATTTATTTGCTGGCACCCAAATAATAAACTGGGTTATTTCAGTGATATATAATTGAACCATTTAAAGCAATTAAAATGGAAAACGCATAAATGCTATTGAAATACAATTCTTCAAAATCAGATAATATAGAAACTCAAACCAGAGGAGAGAATAATGGGTTCACAAAAACTAGAATAAATTAAATGGGGGAGATTTATCCCAGCCACCAGAAATGGAAATATCGATGCTTAAATGTGTCAAAATTATTAAGATGTCATATGGCCTGGGAGAAGCAGGAAAGGATAGTCTACTGTGGTGCTGAAAATACACTAGAGAAGACATCAGAGCAACAGACAAGGGAGGCCCAAAGGAAGGGGGACCTTCAGAATGGCCCTTTTAATTTGCATTTGAGGCTCTAGTCCTTTAGTTTTTTTTTTAAGTCTGCAGACCTGCTTTGGAGTGGCTTGTAGGATGGGGCTCTCTCTGTAGGCAAGTACTCCCTACAGCAGTAGGATTTAAAAAAAACTCCAAAGAAGTAAGCACTTCTTGACTTGCTTTCCTTTCTGCTGCTTTGGTCATACTTCCTTCTCATTTGAAACAATGGAGCTGTCTCACTTTTCCTTGGTAGCACCAGCATAATTCTTGTTGGTGTCTGGGAGTCTATATGAAGTAGGACAACCAGTGAAATTCCAGAATTTCCTTAATGTTGGGTGTTGCCCAGAGTGGTGCATTTATTTGTTATTAATTTTCTTTATTGAAATAATGCAACCCTGAATTCCTGAAATAAAGATTTTTAACAGGGTTAATGTTATGGCTGGATGTTTTCGGGATATGCTAAAAATATGACTGCCACTTGCAGTTTTCTAGTACCTTTCTCTGGCAGATAATGTTCTCTAACGAAACATTAGTTTTGCACATACACACTTTGAGCAGGAACATTAACAGCAGACATTATGGATTTCTCATATCTTGAATGAAAACTCCATGTTCCAGCGTACTAAAAATATACACCACCCTTGCATCACACAATGTGGCATGGGATTTACCGTATTTTACCATGTATACGACCCCCATGTATAAAACGCCCCCCTAATTTTGACCCTTGATGGAGACGAAGGAGCAGTTAATGGGAAACTGCTCCTCCACCTCCATCTCTTGCTGCTGCTGTCTCCGTCCCCTGCCCTAAGGAGATCATGGGAGGAGGAGGAGGAGGCAGCAGGAAGAGGCGCCCAAGCGCACCTGAGTGCTTGTTTGCCTCCGCCTCCACCTCCTGCCTGCGCCACCGGAGGGAACAAGGCGGCAACGTGAACTGAGCCCATCAGTCCCATTGGAGGTGGTGATTGGGCTGGCGGGGAGGCAGCAGCAAAAGGCACCCGAGGGCGTGTGAATGCTCCTTCTCCTCCACCTCCTGCTGCTGCCGCCTTGGGGCCACCAGAGGGGACAAGCCATGAGGTCTGGAAGAGGCAATTGGGTGGCGGCGGCGGCAGCAAGAGGCGCCCGAGCGTGCACACGACTGCTTCTTTCCATGTATAAAACGACACTCAATTTTTCCTCTAATTATTTTAGGGGAAAGTGTTGTTTTATACACGGAAAAACATGGTATGCTGCAACATTATTACATACCGGCTACCTGCAACAATATTAGGACAACATTGCCAGTCTGTTATGAGCATGAGTGATGTAGCAAACCTATTCACAAGTAAATTCCTTTGTGTCTAATTGGTGAGCTACATCCAGCATCACCGGAACATAGTGGTATGTGAGATGAAAGACAAGACAGGACCATGATCCCTACTCTACCCTCAGAGGACAATTTTTTAGTAATGGTGATAAGACACTAAGGCTGGTTATCTTCAAACACATTGGTCTCTCCTTCAACAGAGGGGAGCAATGACTGTTGTCCCCTCCGTATCACTTACCGTCTGCCACCTGAGACAAGTACCCTGACTCTGCCTAATTGTTGGGGCCGGCTCTGAGCATGACATGGTTGAACTTCCTCTCATGCAGTGGCACTTTCCTTTACTCTTCTTCCCTATATCCTTTCCTGATCTTCTCTGAAGGACCTCCCAACCTGAAGAGCAGATTTCTGTGGCTCCTGGAAAGAAAACTGTCAGTTCTGATAGACAGGCTTGGCTTTCACCCAAAAGGAGTAAGTGCACATAGAATTGCCGCCTGATATCCAGAAACAAGAGATGTAATGACTACACAGATAAACCATCTTGGATTCACTTAAACAATCCATTCAAACTGGCTGTTCATCTTCTCCTGCTTCCTCAGTTCCCGGCATAAGAACTGCATATTCACATAACCAATTTCAGAACTTCTTCGCACAAATCGGTTTCATAGCCTGCTTAAGATGTTTTGCTGCCTGAGGTAGGACAAGATGGCAGCCTGCTTCCATTTCGTGGCCCTGTCAACTGGTTTCAATATTGAATTTTATCTCAAAACTGAGATAGTATCCTCCACTACACCTGAATGCAGCAAAATAGTTTAAAGGGTGTAGTTTAAGCAATCCGGCACATCTACTTGTGTCTTCCAATACAAAAGAGTGACCAAGGGCTGAGGGCAAAGAGTCGTGAAGTTGTCACTTCTCTTTGCTATCTCAAGTAGTTGCTTCACACTGACTGAATATAGGGCTGTTGCTTGTTTGTAAGTTTGAGTAATTATTGATAATTCTCCTGCTACCACAGTTGATATCTTCTTATGAAGTAAGCTGCAAGATAGTACTCTGTGACCAAGGGTCCCTTTCAAAATAACTTCACACTAGCAAGCAAGCAAAATTGCTTAGAACCAAAACTGCATATGCACAGAAACACATTTTGTATTTAGGGTACTCAATAATGAGAAATCAGAAACTATTTGTAACATATTGATGAAGTTAGAGGTGTAATAGGATTGCTGTTTCTCCCTATGGTACAAGGGAGAAAAATGACAAAATAAATTTCAGGGTGCTGCTGACTGATTCTGAGGGGGCTATGTTGCTCTTCATTTCCAGGAATTCTTAAAAAAATAGGATGTACTTTGGACCTGGATATGAGCATTAGGAGGAGCTGGGACCCCACCTGATCAGAATGAAACAGATGCTGAAAGATTTTTCAAATCTGTTGCTAGTCGTGCTCTGTGATTATGGTGAGTATGTGGTATAAGTTGGTGGAGACTTTTTCCTTGAAATGTGAAGTGATTAATTACTTGATGTACACATAAATGCATATTGATCTCAAAACACAGATAAGCAAGGTGACAGAATTCACTATCTATTTCATGATGTGACAGATTTGCTAAAACAAATATATCAAATTCTTTGATAGTTTAAGGATCTTTAGCCATAGATCTTTTCCTTCTGGACTTGAGGTTGAATCTTGCTTTTCCTCCCCACGTCCCATCCACAGTCTCCCATGTGAGGCTTATTCTGCTGTAACATACAGGAACCTTTGTCCCACCTTATTTATGTGACGTCCTTTGAGCCTGTAGGAGAAGACCCAACATATTCCTGCCTCTACACTGTTGTGTTTCCATGTAACATGCACTTGGCTCTTTTAATTCATGCTGACTTCACAGATACCTCTTTCAACCCACTTTAAGCTGCCTCTGCTAAAGGCTATTTGCAAGACAGAAGTCTCAAACTGAAATCGCCCTAGCTGTTCCTAGAAGAGGGTATGGCTGGTTGGAACTCAGATCAGGACAATCTGCCTTAACAATTTGCTGATGTTCCCACTGGTTGCTTCGAAATACACAGCTTGAACAGGAGCGTGCAGGTGAAGACCTCAGATGGTGCCTCTGCCTTTTCCTCCTGCGACCTCCCCAAACCCAAGCAAAGGGACACGTGAGATGGAACCACCTCCCTCTTCCCAGTAGGTTTTGAAAAAGTTGATTTCACCCTATTGAACCACAGAGGGCAGAAAAGATCTATTGTGGGACACCACAGGGTACAGCTATGGAGGGTATTTCCTTTGTGTGGCGAGTGGCAGGCGGTGAAGGGGGAGGGTTGGCTGAATCCTTATATTCCAGCCATTGTCAATTTTATTTTTTTTCCATTTTCTTTCCTCTTTCCCTTCCATGATGCATGTGCTCCATGAAATATTCATAAGCCATGTCATGAAAAGAGTCATCAAAGGGCATGATGGCATATTTATCCTGTTTGTTCAACTTGGGTGGTATGTTCTAGAATTCTGCTTCAAAGAGCAACACCCCACCATTTCCTTTTTCATTTCCACCCCCCCCTTACCTAATATGTAATATAAAAGAAGCTCAGTGGATTGCTCATAAAGGCAGGGATGGCTCCTACAGTTCTGAGCAGGCCCCCAGCTGCCCTCAGAGCTTTCTGATTGTCTTCCTCCTGCCTGTGTCGGCAGAAGAGAAGTTGAATCCTTCACAGAAATATCGGGGACTTATTATAGCAGAAGATGTGCCAGCATTCTTGGGCCTTGGCTTTTTCAGTTATCAGTGATCTTGCTTTTTAAAGGGCTTTGCAGTTACAAGCCTTGTAGGCCTCAAAACAATCTCCAGCAACATTCTTTCAAATGAACGTTCGGAGGTATTTTTTAAAAGAACAATCTCAGGATCCCACTGACATGGTATCATGTGTACTGGATTAATAAGGTTGGAGGGAAAGAGAGAGTGATCCAAATTCAACTTACTGTCTCCACCCACAACAACAACAAAATCAGTGAGTTAGGTGTCTGACTGCAGAGCCAGAGGTTGGGAGTTCAATTCCCCCACTGTGCCTCTTGAGAAAAGAGCCAGCCTGCGTGGCCTTGGGCAGTGTGCCTAGTCCCAGGGCACCTTGGGAAGGAAGGAATGGTGAACCACTTCTGTGTATTCTCTGCCCAGAAAGTCCTGGAAAGGGTTGCCTTAAGTCAGAATTGGCTTGACGGTAGAGAGGGGCACGAACTTCAGTGCGATAGAAATGGGTACAAACCTTCCCCTGCCTCCCAGGCTGGATCCCCCCCAGTCACCAGCCAGTGTGCGCTCCTCTGCTCGTCCTCGTCCTCTTCAGCTGTTCGACCAGTCTCCAGCAGGAACGTGGGCTTCCCTGCCCTGCCTCTTTGGCTGATCACCCACTCAGATAAGGAGGTAGGACAGGCAAACCCATGCTCCTGCTGGGGATTGGTTGAACTGCAGCAAAAGAGGAGGAGAGGATCACACCCCGACTGGTGAGTGTGTCATTAGCTGGGGAGGTGGGAAAAGGGAATGTGCACCACCGGGGGTGCCATGTGCGCGACGTGGTACGAACCTCCAAACCGAGGTTTGTGCCCTTCTCTACTTGACAGCAAACAATCATTATTAAAGGAGCTAGAAGAAAGATGCTTGGTTTATTCACTATATTTATCTCTACCCTTTACTCTAATGACCCCAAGGCAGAATAAATGGCTCTCTCGCTATTTTTATTCTCACAACTGCCCTGTAAAGTAGATCAGACCGTGAGGCCCACAATCAGCTACAGTAATATATTTCAAGCTTATAGGAGACTAGAATATGGACCTCCCTAGTCCCAGTATCTTAACCACTAAAGCAGAACACAGTGCGCTCTTGTAGTTGAATAAATGCATACATCCCACCAATGGCCCTTAGAGTTGCAAGGTAACGATGAACTATAATCATAAAAATATCAGGTGCCTTTCTTTTTTAGAACTTGTTATCCTTATGTTGTAAGCCGCCTAGAGTGGTCGAAATGACTAGATGTGACCACTGAAGATTGTCTTCGGACAAAATGCTGGCTCTATGGCTTGGAAACGGGGATGAGCACCGCCCCCTAGAGTCGAACATGACTGGACAAAAATTGTCAAGGGGAACCTTTACCTTTACCTTTTACCATTCAGAATGTCTCATTTGTGAGGGCAGCTGATACCCAAAAGGAACTTCTTCCAACAGAAGATGTGGGACAGTGGGTTTGTCATTCCTTCTGAAGCCTCCACGCAACACCACCTCCCATAGGTGATCTTGCAGGGTCCTCCAACTGTCTTGAACTTTATAGGCAGCTGTACTGCTAGGGGAGAGAGGAACGGTTGAAAATCCCGGCTCCCTTCCGGGGAAGCATCGTGTGGGACGAGATTCAGTCAGATGAACTTTGGCTGGATCCCACTATAGCTGTGAATAATTAATTATAAACCTTTGTATAATATGATGGTTTTACTGCTGAATGTTTATATGATGGGTTTTTAAACTGTTGAGATAATTCATTTCTATCCTGAGAAGGAGCTTTAGCATGAAATGCAAAAGGCCACCTAATGCATTAGATAAATAGCATCTGCTACTTACCTCCCTTGTCAAATGTGTGAAATGACATTTCACCTTTGAGACTGTAATTGACAGATTAATTTCTGGATGAATTGGGCTCTGGATTGAGCACAATATAAATTGTATCCACATTTCTTTTACTGATCTTTGTTGATTTTTCTCTGTCTCTCTCCTTCCCTCTCTCCCTGGTTCCCTCCATCACTCTCTCCAACCTTAATAGTTAGTGAATATAATCATGCTTCATAAGACATAAGACATAAGACATAAGAAATTTATTTGTCATTGCACTCACAAGTGGGTGCAATGAAATGAGGTGCTCTTCCCCAAGGTAAAACTGGACAACACCACTACAAAAAAAGTTAAAAATATACACAACACTCACCATACAAATATAAATACCCCATTTCTCCCAGCAATTAAAATTCCACCAAAAACTTATGACCCCGCATTTAATTCACACAATGAATTATAAGCATCAGAAGAGAGAAGAGCCAACATGTAAGGACAACTAAAACGAAATAAAGACTGGTAAAAGACAGTTGTAAAAACAGTATTGATTATCGGTTTACGGACTTCAGTTCTTTGACCTGGGAGTGATACACCAAAGTAGACATCATTTAAAGAACTTACTATTTGCTACCAATGGACATCATGTCACAAATTCATGTGAAAGAAAATCACATACTTAAGTCTTTTAGGCTGCGTATGTATATCAATGTAAAAAAATGTGGCACCTCAAATACTAACTTTGTATTTCAGAGCGAGCTTTCGTAGAAGAAGTCTACTTCCCCAGACACTGCAAACACATTGGAATGTTACAGTCAGTCTTTAAGGTTCCATGATGTTTTTGATTTGCTTGTTTTTGGCTTGCTTTTGCCTGAACTGTACTTATAAATTCATTACGCCTGGACATTGTTTTTACAGAACTCAGCTGATATGTTAACCTTTACATTGGAGCTATATTTGCTATCCTCATTTTCCAGTATTGGAAGATAAAATAATGATTTCTATTCCTAGCCTCCAGCCAGGCTCCCGAACAAAGGAAAGACAACAGATTTTTTTTTTCCTGTAGTAAATGTTAATTGTCTCCCACAAATAAGGAAAGGAGTCCTAGTTCTGGAATTTATTTTGCTCTTTGTGTCTTCATAAACTCTGTTTCCTGATGTTAGACAGAATCTCTGACTAGTTGTAGCCAGTGTGGCCCATGGTGAGGGATCATGGGATTTCAAACCAGAGTTATCTGGAGAACCACACATTCCCCACACGGTTTGAAAGCTTTTTATAGCTGCTGCCTATGAGTGTTGGATAACTGATTATTACCAGACCGAAGTGGAGAGTGCATTTAAGAATTGCTTTTTGGCACAGATGGTCGTTGTATTAGATGTTCTGAAAAATCTCTCTGTCCCTGTTCACTTCTCTTTTTCTCTCCAGACTTCATCCCTCTTTAATTTCACTGCTTACTAACAATGCTGTCAAACTCTTTTTCAGTACTGGGAACGGTGGAATATCTTCTCTTGGAGCAACCAACGCACGTAGCTTTAAGCAACGGCACAGTATCCGTAGGGTTGCAGAATTATGATGGGAGCAATGTGACATGGAGAAACCTCTCCGTCTTGCTCACGGATGCCAGCACCAACCAAACAGTTGCAAAGAAGCAACTTACGCAAGGCCAGGACCGTGATCTGGTCACCTTCGAATGTTTTCATTTTAAGAGGGCTGGGAACTACAGTTTCAAAATAGTTTCTGAATTCATCAATGGTACTCATCCCCAGTGGAACAGAAAGAGTATCCCACTGACGGTGGAGTGGCCTGTATTTCACTTTGATTTGAGGAGGACTTCAGAAAGCCGTGGGACTTCGCTTCAGCTTGTGCTCTTTACAGATGCCTATTTATGTCCACGGAATGAGACTGTGATTTCTTTAGATATAATACTGACCAGCAGTTTTTATGAGTTAGAAACACTAATCATGAAAGAGACTGTGGGAATGAGAACTAGGAAAAAACTTGATCTGTTTAGGTCCCAGTTGGTGACATTTGACTGCCAGTTGGCTAGCCAAGAGCCATTCGTTGCTGTGTTGCTGAAAGCAGTAGAGACCAATTCAATCATTGCTTCAACAGGACCTATAAATCTTGTGCGCAAATTTGGCTACAAATTAGTTCTGCCAGAAGAAATTGTATGTGAATCTTCAATCATGGTTTCTGTTCTTCCTCCTCCGTGTACTTCTGCTGCTGGACGCATTACTGTGTTAAAGTATCATCTTGGGCCTTTGGGTAAAAGGGCATTAAAGCTACACGAAAGCATTGTGAATCCAGAGGACAAGAGGATAGCATTCAACTGCACCCTGTTTGACAAAGGCACACACAAATACTGCTTTGAATTTAGGCAGCTGGACCAACATGATTCTGCACTGAGAGCAAAAGAATGTGTGCTCATCCAAAGGAATGTTGGTCTGTATTCCCTTTCAAAAGTGCTTAATTTGAAACTCTCATGGTTTATAATATCCATTTGATTTTGTATCATGCATCTACCTCCCCTTGCAAGGCACACTTCTGTATCATTGCAGAGCTATGTGTATAGGACAGAGTCCCCATAAAACAGAAATGGAGAATGGCTACCAGCTGGAAGGATGTGGACCACTGAAAGCTAGAGGATTAAAAACCTTTCTTTTCCTTTCTATTAACTGGTGCTTGGTCCAGAAACAATTCTGAGGACTGATTATACATCTGTGTGTTCCCCATTCTTTCCAGCATCTCCTTCCGGGAGAAAGCTGTGGGAAGATTCCTTGAAGCTTTAATGCACGTAGTGAGAGAGGGCAGGTCATAGCTGGGAGAAATGATGTCATTCATTCATTCATAGCCACCTGGGGCCAAGTGTTGCCAGCATTTTCACCAAACCTGTAAAGTTACTCTTAAAATGAGTTAGTTATTACTCCTATTCCACAGCTTTCAATGTAGTTACTGCTATAGCTGTATCCTCAAAAGTGGCTGTTTACTTTCTCATTATTCAGAGGTTTCTAAAATAATTACTTCTACAAACTTTTGTATTCTTGAAGGCTTTCATGGCCAGGATCCATAGTTGTAGGTTTTTCGGGCTGTTTGGTCATGTTCTGGAGGTTTTTCTTCCTAATATTTTGCCAGTCTCTGTGGCCGGCATCTTCAAACTTTCTTTTAAAAAAATCAGAAAGCTGTACTACAAAGCACACCTAAGAATTAAGGCCACATATCTACAGCCATCAATGTAACCAAATCAGTAAGAATGCAAAAAGAACTAAATTATCCCTCATTAGCCAAAATCCTGTTGCTTTGTGTTGTTAATCTCACTAGAAAGAGACCCATTGTATCAGTGGGGATTTGGTCAGTCACTCCTTTCACAGTTCCATCAATTCAAATGGGCTTACTGTGACTTACTTTACTAGTTAGTAAAGTAGAATAGGCTAGACCCATTTGAATCAATGAAACTTACAGAGGAGTTGACTTATCAAATCCCCTTTGGTTCAGTGGGCCTGCTCTGGTGAGATTTGCTACACTAAGCAGTAGAATTTTGTCCATTATGTCACAATCATATTGTTCAATCGGTTATGCCTGAAGTATTGCAAAAAAGGAATTGATTGCAAATACCATGTGTTATAAGCTATTTCTAAATGCTCCTCTGCATGCATGTATAAATTGCATGGGCAAAGTTTCACCATTTCTAATCTCCATGTAAGGGAAAGATTTCCCTGCTCAATTTCTGTGCACAGTATTGCTTTTGAAGGCACAGAAGCAAAACTGGCCCTGAATGTAGCCACAGTGTTTTTGCCCTCAGCCATTTCCACCCTCTGCTCTCCTAGGCTGTGTGGCAGCAGGAAGATTCCTACAGGCAGCAGGACCAAGGAAAGGGCAAGAAGAGAAGCTGTAGTTCCAGCTTCCACAGGGGAAGGTGGAGGAGTATCCTACACTCAAAGGCCCTCTGCAAGTGATCAGTTCAGGCAACGTAGGCAAGAATGATCTCTTCTCTTTCCTCCACCACCCTAGTCAGCCACAACACATTTAGCAAGGAGGAACACAGAGAGAATAACAAGGGGTACAGAAAGAATGGGGTGGGAGGGAAAAGTGACTGATGGGAATTGTAATCCAGCAGCAACTGGAGGGCCACAGGTTCCCCACCCCTGATTTGAATGGTTCCCTGTCCTCATCTTTCCTGCTCCATGTGTGCCAAAGGTTCGTGGGTGTGGTCTTGTGGAGATAGGCAAGTGTGACCTTAATGCTCTGTTGACACACTCATCTTCCTTCATAGCATCTTGGCACAAGTCTAGGCTATTTACACACAAGGCAACTGAAGATGAATCCTGGCAATGTGGAAGTGATGTTGTCTGATAGGTTGTTTAATTGCTTTTGTCCATTAGGTCACAATCGTTGTTATGAGGATCTGCTGTTTTCTGGATCAGCCTTTATCTATCTATCTATCTATCTATCTATCTATCTATCTATCTATCTATCTATCTATCTATCTATCTATCTATCTATCTATCTATCTATCTATCTATCTATCTATCTATCTATCTATCTATTTATTTATTTATTTATTTGCCATGGCCTTTTCAGGAGCTCTTCTCAGGTTCCAGGGCCATTGTCAAACAAGGAAAACCTTTAGCTGTGTTCAATCAAGAATGCAACATGAACAGATGAATCTCTGCCCCCCCTTCAAATATGTCACCACCCCCCATGCCTATTCTAAAGTACTTCTTCACCCATAGCAAGATGAGTTCATTTGAAAGAATTTTTTCAAAAGAGATTCTGTGCCAGGAAATTTTACCTGTGCAAGAGATCCCTAGCTGCCCAATCATGTAGGGGTGTCTCTCCAGATGCAAACCATACCCGCCAGTAGCCCAGAAAATAGTCCACGTCCAGTGCTTGCAGATCCAATTGCACTGCCTTTCTGTATCCAGCAGACATTTACGGTGGATAAATAATTCCCCATGCAAAATTTGAAAATTGCACCCCATTTTGTTATGTTAAGCCTAATGTTAACAGAAGATGTAGATTAAATTATGTGGGGTTGCTCATTTTTCAGGACTCATTGTATTCTTTTCCTAAGGGGGGAAAAAGAATCTTGCGGTCCATTTAGGAACAACAGATTAAGTTTAGCATGAGTCTTAATGGATTACGATCCATGAAAATGCATTTCTCAGGTTCTTTGTCCCCTTTCCCTTTAACAGATTGTCTCCCTTCAGTAAAGCAACGTCTGATGTATTTACAGAATCCTGGAGCCTATGGCAGGCCTGGACCCCATGTAGCGTGACATGTGGGGATGGCATCCGCGAGCGTTATCGAGAATGCCTCACATCTCTCCCAGTCCTGACAGAACAAGAGTGTGTGGGGAGGCATCGGGAAGCGTCTCTGTGCTCTTTGGAGGAATGCACTAGTACGTAAGCTGAATGTTGGGAAGGCATCCTCATTCACGATTTTCTTCCACTCTTCTTTTAACATTACTGTATGAGATCTTTCTGTCTCAGGTTGCAACTGCATTAACAAATAATGCAGGAAATTCTCCAGGATTGGGATGGTCAGATTTGCATCATTTTCCGTTGACTACATGATGCACAAGTCAATGCAAACCAGCCCTGATTCCTTCTCACATGCATACAGTATTTTCCCCCTCTGCCACTAGGGCTTCTACTTTTTTAAAGAATCAAATGCATTTACATCTGTTCAGATGGTGTGATAGTTTAAGTTGATGCAATGGGTTGGCTGGCTCTCCAGGCTTCCTAGTTTAGGGTGGGGAGAAAGGAAGTAAAGGGGCACTCATGGGGGTGTAGGTTCCTCTCAACTAAGTACCCCTTTGTCTCCAAATTCCCCCCCCCCCAAAAGGCTTGCTGCCTGTACTGGTGTGCTACTGCAACTGGAAACCAAAGAGAAAAAAAAGAGCAAGGAGGAAATCAGTAGCTAGCCCTTTTTGCATCTTATTAAGGTAGCCTCCTGCAAATCTGGATGGGTGCAGGAGAGCCACCTTAACAGGGTATTAACAAGTTCAGATTGGCAATTTTCTCTGCTCTCTCTACTGACTCCTGTGTGAGCCGCTGAAGTGAATTCATCTGGAGAAGCCTAACTTCCTGAGTATGACTTCACAGTGGGTCACGTTGCATTTCTCCTGCTGTGTAGTCACATTCTCAATGTGCACTACATAGGGACAGATATCTTTGTAAAATATCCAGCCAGATAGAAGTAAAGGAAGGAGGCCCAAGTACAGATTTGCTGATGTCACATGTACATACTCATCTTATGGTGCATGAAGGTATTACAGTACTTATAAATGGGATATATCTGTTTCACAGAATGGTCCTATTTACAATACATTAGTGCTAAGTTGACTGGTTCTCACTTGGCCTTTAGTTGTTGCTGATCAATTGCTGTTGAATCATTATACTATGTGTATATAAGACTGTAGTTTTTGTATGGCTCACATTATCTTAACAGAATTATACAATCAAAAGGTCTTGCATCAAGGATACCAGGGCTGTATCCATTACATTTACTAGGTGAATCAGAACAAAATCTTCCCCCATCCATAAGTACCTACAGTTGGTAACATTATATGGTGTGAGATGCCAACCACACCCCATGAGCCAATTATGAATTGCCTTTCTCAATTATTCCAGATTGTATCTGTGTATTTTTTTCAAGTTTTGATTTACTAAATTACAAGTGCAGCTGTTACACCAGGATAAGCCGAGGAACTATAAAAAATACGATGGATAAGGGAGCCTATAACTAGTAATGAAGTCATAGCTCAGAAAGCTTATAAAGCAGATTATGAGATGATTAATATCCACACCTCTCCCTACCACTAGTTTCAGAGGACTCACTGCTCCTTTTCTGCATCTATGGATGATTCATTCTTGCCAGACTCGTCTCTGGGTTCCTGTTCCTGTTTATGTGAGGGAATGGGAGGCATGGAGAAGACAGGTTGTGAGAACCATTTGGGGCCCATAACCTGCAGGGTTCTCTGCTCCCCTGCATTCGACCTCAGGTAGAGGACTCGTGTGTCCTGTTTTACAGAGGATAACCCTCTGATTGAAGATTTCCTGTGCTTGGAGTTCTGCCAGTTTAACTCTGGCATAAAGACAAACAAAAACCTAGAAGAAAGGAGAACAAGTAGGGGCATATGGACACATCACCTCGACAGCAGATAGTGTAGGCAGAGAGGTCACCAAATTACATTATTTCTCGACTAAGGAAAGATATATTGTGCTTTATTTAAATGACAGTGGTTATTTCTAGATCTGCATCTCTACATATAAGCTAGCATATGCCTATTTTTTTGTAATTGTATATTCTTTTTAGGTTTTGCACTTCCTCTTCTGGAGCGGTCCATAAGTGGCCATGCAGAGCCTCAGATGGGGGTCTCTATACATGTTCATGGTCATAAAGCATGCTCTGCTGTTTGATTGCAGCAACAAAAACATCCCACCAATAGTTGTGGGCTTGTTCCCAGCTGAGAAAGGTTATTGTCTCAGAAGTATTAAACTTTGTGATTTGATGTCCAAATAGGTTCTTACCAGTGTCCAAAGTAATGACTTGTATTAAACAGGTTTTGCTCATCTTGAGAAATAGCTTGTCATATTCAGCTGTTGAATACATGTGTTCTTTGTTTCAGCCACAAGGTCTCCACCCATCACACCCTTGCACAATGATCAGAGAGCCACCAATAATCTGGTCACTGTCACTGGTATCTCCTTGTGTTTATCCATCATATTTGCAACGATCCTTATCACCCTATGGAGGAAGCTTTGCAGGACCCAGAAATGTAGCACCCCTGTGCGCTGCGACTCTGCCCACTCCCCCGGCTTCAGGAAGAACTCCGATGAAGAGGATATCTGCCAAGAGGGGCAGCGGGGAGACAGCTTTTCTGAGAGAGAAGCCCCTTGTTCACCGCACGAGGAACCCGATAGGCCTTTGAATCTGAGATGCCTTCATTTCGCTCAAGAAGAAGGTTCTTCTGCTAATGAGAGCTTTCAGTCCGGTGCTCAGAAAATAATCCCCCCCATTTTCAGCTACCGCCTCGCACAGCAGCAGCTGAAGGAGATGAAGAAGAAGGGCCTCACAGAAGCAACCAAGGTTTACCATGTTTCTCAGAACCCTTTGACAGACACGGTGAATGCCGAAAACCAGGAGGCTGTGGGTACAAGCAAGTTCAGAATAAAGTCTCCCTTTTTGGAGCAACCACCCGGTCACCCCCAATTACCAGGCAACAGGCCCAGTTCTATGGTGGGCTTTGCGCCATCGGCAGTTGAACCCACCTGGAGCCCTACGCAGTCTCTAATTAAAAGAAGTCACCCCAGATACCTTGATTACAAGGCAGAGCCATCAGAGAGAAGCTACTTGAGAAGCTCCCAGTTCAGAAGAACGGCTAGTTTTCATGAAGCTCGAAAAGCCAAGCCATTCCGGAAAAGAAGCATGTCCACGCTTACACCAAGTCAGACTCCTCATTACCACTGCAGAGCCAGAATATGGGGTTCTGTCCCTGAAGAACAGCATCAGTCTGAACCTCAAAGTGTCAAGCAGAATACTATAGAGCTTGACCTGTATCCCAGCACTGCTTTAACTACCGAGGTGATGACCGGTGGGGTGCAGAATCCCCATAGATGGGAACCACTTCTGGGGAAACAGCCAGATCTTCCTAATAATCAACAGCCTTTGTCCCAAAGGCTCTATGCTGATAAACCAGAGCAGAAAAGAAACAGAGGCAGCCCCTTGCTAAGTTCTGGGGATCCCTGGAGGAAAGAACCTGCCGGAGCGTCTCTAAAAAACACTCACCAAAGAGATGTTCTCAGCCCCGCCCAGTACAGGAAGAGCAAATGCCAGAGCTTCCCATCTGATCCTGAGTATCATTTCTATGACAACAGTACCTTCGGGTTGACTGAATCAGAACAGCAAATGATTGACCTGCCAGGCTATTTTGGCTCTAATGAAGATGGTGAAATGAGTACTTTAAGTATTGAAAACCTGGTGATCTGAATTTCCTGATGCCGTTGTGCCAACCCTTATGGGTTGGCATGAAAAGCTGCTGCAGCATGCACAACCACAAAACCTTTGGATAATTTTTTTTTTTAATGCAATGCCTGGAGCCAGTCTTCGTTTCCTTAGAGGGGAAAGAGGCCCAGTCCTCCCTAAAGGGCACGCATCTGCAAACGGACACAAAATCACTTTTGGAAAACCAAATGATTCTCTGACGTAAGAGACATAAGCTCTTCCTAAATTAGTGCCACTACTTCTGGAGTCCCTTTTCCATGGATGATGTTGGGTCAGGCGGATGGGAACTATAGGCCAAAACATCTGGGGGGACAAAAGTGCTCCATATATAGCAAAAAAGGGGGATTCCATCCATCACAAGGATAAAGAGTGGATGGCCCTCTAAATCGTATAGGACTGCAGCTCCCTTCATTGCTACTCTTGATTATAACTTCAGTCCAGCAACTGTTGGAGGGCTATATAGTCCTCACTCTGAACTACACAGAAGCAACCTTTTCCCACCATAACCCAGACTGCTGCTGCTACTAATACAGCAGCAGTTCAAAATTTACTTGGCATAGTTTATGTTTGGCAATTCTTTCTCCCATGACTGATCTGTGGCTTGTTCTACATTTGTTTTCCTTCTGAAAGTATAAGTAAAAATACACCCTGAAACCACAAAAAGTACTTTATAACATATAAATTTTAGGCAGTGATAAAAAAATAAAGTTTTACATTTATGTACCTAACTCTAGGAGGTGTAAGAGATAATGAGTTATTTTCACAATTGCTGCTGTTCACTAGATTTCATTCAGGTTGCATTATGACAATGTACTTGATTATTTTCACATATACAGTGTTGGTAATTAGTATCACTGTTCATCCTTCTTTAGTAGAGGGATGAAATGACATCTAGCCTTTGGGCTTTATTGATCCCTACATTTGCTTCTGGTTTTCTCAGATTCTGATTTAAGAATTGCCCTTCACATGTTCTCATATGCACAAAATACAAATTCAAAAAAACGTTTGTGAAAATGCATAGCAAGTCTTCTGCTACGTTAGGCATCAGTCAAGATTCCTGGCTTCTCCCATAGCCAACATAGTCAAAAAACAAATTAAAAGGACTCAAATACCATGTGAATGAATCAGTATGTACATCCGGTAGCTGGAAGGGGTGAGGTTTGTGGCCAGTGCATGCCAAATGCAGCTTCCCCTCTCCACTGGAAACAGTTTGGTTGGGGTTCTCCCCTCTCACTATATCAAGTTTTCAGTGATTCAATTCATAGGGCTGCTCCCTGCCAATTATACAACATTTATGTGCTTATGCTTTGTTTTTTTCTCTTTTCGCAAGAGACAAAGTAGTTCTTTACTGCAACTGGGAATTTCAGAGATGTTTTGAATTAAAGGGCCGACTTTGAAGGCTAGAAGGAACTTAGAAATTAAAGTTTTATAGAAGCTTCCTCTGTTTCATATTTACAATGTGCATGCATTTGTTGTTTAAACAGGAGGAAAACCACACATTTGGGTTATCCCCTCTGCGTTGACTGAGAAGTCCTTTGCGGGTCATGTTGCCCTGAGGATCCACTTCCCTGTGATCTAAGAAAGCCATTGCTGCTACTCTGTTCTCTAAAGGCAAATGTGTTCACTTGGCCTGGGCAGGTTGAGGTGCCAAATAATTATGGCAGATCCAAAGGGGAATGTATGATGGAAAATGTAATTTAATGCACAATTGGAACAAATGACCCTAGAAACAGGTTCAGAACATGTTCAAGTCATGTTACAGTATGTAACCAATGAGTCTTGACCTAAACAGCATCTAATCCCTCAAATCCCTTTTTGCATGACATGTTCTCTTCTCACAGTTGAAGCATCTTAACTTGTTTCACCATCTCCACTCTGTCCACCCAGAAATGACAGGGGTCTGATCTTCATGGCTGTGTATTTCAGGGAATACCACAGTCCTCGCCACGTGAACCAAACTACTCCATTGTCAAAGGTCCCCGTGTATTTCCCCTTCTTGTGATACAGTCCATTGAGATTTGCTGCATGGCATCTTAGGGAAATGAGAGAGTAAAAGAAGGGAAAGATAATGTTAATCAATGTGTAACAGAATAAAACAAACACATAAAGCCAGGTCTTATTAGGTAAAGGTAAGTGTTCCCCTTAACATTTAGTCCAGTCATGTCTGACTCTAGGGGGCGGTGCTCATCCCCGTTTCCAAGCTGTAGAGCTAGAGTTTTGTCCGTAAACACTTTCTGTGGTCACGTGGCCAGCGCGACTAGACGCGGAATGCCGTTACCTTCCCACCAAGGTGGTACCTATTTATCTACTCGCATTTTTATGTGCTTTCAAAACTGCTAGGTTGGCGAGGAGCTGGGACAAGCGACGGGAGCTCACACCGTCGTGTGGATTTGATCTTATGACTGCTGGTCTTCTGACCTTGCAGCACAGAGGCTTCTGCAGCCACCACGTCCCCTTTAGGTCTTATAATGGAACCCTTAATTCAGGTAACACCTTCAGTTTTGCTATGCTAAAACCCAATTAAATTTATGAATGCAGCTTCTGTTCTACCCCTCTTGCAAGAAGATCAAGGTGGTGTATACTACATGGTTCATACTGGTCTATCTCCTTTATTCTCACAACAAACCTATGTGGGCTTGTTGTGAGAATAAAGGAGATGGGTACATTGCGGGGAGAGGTAACAACTAGCCTAACATTCACTCATTGTTCTGATACACCATGATTCACAACCACACCATGTTGGCTCTCTAGAATAAGCAGTATGCATCTGTCTGGCAAACCTAAAAAGGCTCCAGTGTTCAGAGAAACAGAAGAGGGATAGCTCTTTGACTTCTAGATGGCTCTCGCCAAGCCACTCACCTGTTAAACCACCAGCCACATTTGTTCTCTTCTGCACAGCTGCCTGTTAGGAACCGATCATTGTCTCTGTCAGGAGTGGAGAATGGCATCCCACTGAGCGATGTAGACCATTGGTCCTCAAAGTTGCTCCCTCCAGACAAAGCATCCCCAGCATTCCCAGAAAAAGTGCCAAAGTATATCCTGTAATGGTTCTGCAGGAGAGCCACAGAAGGGTCTGTTAAGGTTCAGCAATAAGGGGACAGTCCTCTCACTTAGCTCCCTGCAGAAGCTTTCCTCTTGCCACCGCAGAATGTTATGGAAGTTCTGAATTCTATCCCATGGAATAGTCTGCAGTGGGGCTTCTCGGGGGCATTCTGGATACCTGCTCCCACAAATGCCATAAATAAACAATGTTTCACTTGAACAATGAACTGCTTCACAAGTAGAACGAACAAGTGGCCTTAAATCTCTTGACATTGATCCCAACTGCAGTTTAGTACTTCAATGCTTATTTAGAAGTCACAACTTAATAAACTTTTTTGTTGCAATATTTCCCCTCTCTCTTACTATAACCACAGGTCATACTTTTACTCTCAAGTTTGATACAGTACATGTTTTTTTTTTTTTAATATGGAGTGGTTATTCCAGAAGTAAACTGTGAAAAAGCCCACTCTTTATCACCCTTTCCTGCTTTTTTGTATTCCTGGAATTATGGATGGAAACTTACTGTTTACATGACACATGACTTGTCCTACTATTTTCTAGATTAGTTTTCCAGGAAAATCAGAAAATATTAAAATAAAAGTGATAGGAGGGAGGAGTTGACAATTAATTTTCCTTACCTACTGGGATTCTCCAGTATAAGACATAAGAAATTTATTTGTCATTGCGCTCACAAGTGGGTGCAACGAAATGTGGTGTATGGTATGGTACCATAAAAGACTTTATGATGACACCAACCATGCTAATGAGTTGACTTACGTGTGGGCAGTAGTGGTATGCAGAGTAACAAAAGACAGATATCTGGATTCCTCATTTTACTAGTTACAAAGCCCTTTTCTAACTTCCAGCCAAAGTTAAGTGATAGTTACTTAGAGCCTTTTGGCTCTTGTTCTCACAAGATATTTCACTTCAGTACATTTATGTCATCTACTATACCAGCTCCATGGGATACTAACATAGCAACACACTATTCTCTTTAGCCTGGCAGGCTAATGGACCATGTTCTTTCATAATTCATTGTAAGTATATAAATTATTTGAATTTAATTTGAATTTGAGAGATTACCCACCGTCTCATTCTTGAGCTGGAAATCATCATAAATTGCGTATCGTTCCTCCCCAAGCCAATCTCTCAGGTCAATCTTCAGGGAGTTTTCTTCTGGAATGGAAAATGGTATTGTGCTGAATTCTCTTGAGTCCAAGGTTTGGTTCCGTGTTACAATAAATTAAATTATCAATGAAGCTGGATATTTTCCAGTTGGACCATTCAATATTTACTTATTCTGGGGGGTTTGCATCAACATTTCTCTAGTGGCAAGTCGGTCAAGTATGTGAAGAAAGAAGGCGGTTGCCAAGGGACAGAATCTTCAGTGAGCTACATAATAAAACCTGTTCCTCCTCCCAACCAAGATCCATGTTGCCCAGATTGATAAAGAGTCCTACAGTGAGCTAAAGAAAAGGTAATAATAGGGAGCTGAAATTAATTATAACAAAGAAAGAAAGGAAAAGCAACGAAGGTTTGGGTCAGGTAGGCAAGAAATGGGATTTTTAAAAAATTATTGTAGCTGTTTCCTTTTCTCCAAAGCTCAAAATAGGCAGAGGGGAAGGGAGGAGTAAAATCATGGATGAGTTATTTCACTTTCATTCCGGTTAGTGTAACAATGTACTGTAATGTGAATTTGAACACCAATTTGAATGCCCAGTTTTCCATGTAAATGTAATTTAATTAGATATTTTGTTTAGCTCATTAACGATGTGCAATCCTTTCCCACTAACTTTTCAATCTCTGGAACAGATATAGTGAATGAAATGCCATGATTTCTGTGCTGACAGGTCTGTATCATGATGGTTATTTTAATCAAGATATGCAAAAAGGTAAAATTAGCTGAGGGCAGATAAAGGTAAAGGTAAAGGTTCCCCTTGACAATTTTTGTCCAGTCGTGTCCAACTCTAGGGGGCGGCGCTCATCCCGCTCTTCAAGCCATAGAGCCAGCGTTTGTCCGAAGACAATCTTTCCGTGGTCACATGGCACCAAGATCTATGTTGCCCATATTGATAAAGAGTCCTACAGTGAGCTAAATAAAAGGTAATAATAGGGAGCTGAAATTATAACAAAGAAAGGAAAAGCAAGGAAGGTTTGGGTCAGGTAGGCAAGAAATGGGATTTTAAAAAAATTCTTGTAGCTGTTTCCTTTTCTCCAAAGCTCAAAATAGGCAGAGGGGAAGGGAGGAGTAAAATCATGGATGAGTTATTTCACTTTCATTCCGGTTAGTGTAACAATGTACTGTAATGTGAATTTGAACACCAATTTGAATGCCCAGTTTTCCATGTAAATGTAATTTAATTAGATTTTTTTTAGCTCATTAACAATGTGCAATCCTTTCCCACTAACTTTTCAATCTCTGGAACAGATATAGTGAATGAAATGCCATGATTTCTGTGCTGACAGGTCTGTATCATGATGGTTATTTTAATCAAGATATGCAAAAAGGTAAAATTAGCTGGGGGCGGGGACCAATATTTTGACCAGGAAAAAAAAAGCCAAAGAGATAAGATTTTGCATCCTCTTTGTTTTTTTCTCTCTCTCTCTGCCCTGTTGTTCATATCAAACTCAAACTCTGTGTGTCTGGGCAAATTTTTAAATAAAAAATATACTGATAGACACAGAAGGTGGTTTGTGTGTGTGTGTGTGTACATATTTTTTCTTCTTTATATGCCTTTTTTTGCAAAGGAAAATAGCCATATCCTCCATTATAGGTAGTTAGAGGGCAGGGACCAATATTTTGACCAGAAAAAAAAAAGCCAAAGAGATAAGATTTTGTATCCTCTTCTTTTTGCAAAGGAAAATAGCCATATCCTCCATTATAGGTAGTTAAATACTTTGTACCTATGCAGAATTTATCATATGGAATGACCAGATGAGAAACCTTCGATCCACAAATAGGGGGACATGGAGGAGTTAATTTATTGGGTCTTGAATTAAGATTCTTCTTGAGGAAATGAAGGTCCTCACCTCTAAGTAGCAGATCATAAATCTTATCATTACCCAGCCAGTATTCATCATTTTTGCCCTGGAACTGTCCAAACCCTTCTTTGTAATCAGTCCATTGTCTGTAAGGAATAGAGGTACCCGGGGATCAGTGTGAGATATATAATGTGGGTTTGTTGATTTTTAAAAATATTATTTATTGTCATTTCTTAAATATAAAAGCCATCATTCTTCCATCACAAAACTCACTGTGGTATACATGGCTTTTCAGTCAGTCATCCAGACTACTGGCCAGACTCAGACCTGCAAAGTTTCAGCAATGCAGGATGTGCCATTTAAGCGCATACTTTGTGATTTTCCCAAAACGCCCCACAGATCTCCAAAGCTGGTGTTGCTATTGTTTTTACTGGCTGAATACAAGTATATTGCATGACATTTTTTCCTTCAACTACACTGGGGTGCCAGACCACCACCCCCTGGTAGTTCAAAATCCATGTATAACACTCATGACGCCCCCCAAAAAACCTGCAAAGCTTAAACAGTTAATACACTCAGAGAGAAAGAGAGCGAGCGAGCGCAGTTCTCTCTGTTGCATAGCATAGACCAGTGGTTCTTAACCTTTGTTACTCGGATGTTTTTGAACTACAACTCCCAGAAACCCCAGCCAGCACAGTTGCCGGTGAAGGTTTCTGGGAGCTGCAGTCCAAAACTCCTGAGTAACCCATGGTTAAGAACCAGTGGCACAGACAATCTTTCCCATATAGTAATATGTGTAAGGAGCCTTAAATATCCTTATGACCTCCTGATCTAGAAGCTGAGTAGAGATGTAGTCTTTGGGGGCAAGTAGATCACTTTGATGCCTTTGGTGTTGAACTCATGCCCTAGGTTCTGGATGACCAGAACAATATTTATTGAATATTTATTTATTGAGCATTCATTTATTATTGCAATATGTATTGATTGATAGTGGGGAAAATCCATGTATAACCAAAATCATGCTGCTCAAGACCCACACAAATCAAGGGAGAAGTGTAATTGCCTTCTGCTTTCCATAGACTTCCAGTTAGGTGGCGTCCCACCAAAGGGCAAGAGAGACCATTACAGGTGGCCCACAATGAGCACAGAAAATCCTTAACTAACGAGCATCCCAGCAACAGCTTCTCATTGGCTGTGCAGGCAGAATTCTCATCCCACTTCCATATCTGATTGGTCGGCTGCCAGAGGAGGCAAGGAAGGGCAGAGTCCATGTGGCACCTGTGGTACCATGTGGCTTGCATTGTATGAAATGGCACAAAGTAATTCATGCCCATCTCTAATTTCAATCCATGAAAATTTACATTGAAACAGATGTGCTTGTCTTTAAATGCTACAACATTTTGCCTGCTTTTTTTCTCCTCTCACACTTAATTTTTCCAGCATACCTGTAGAAATTCTCTTTGCCATTGCTTCGCCGTTGAATCACCGTCCATCCTCCACCATCTGACATGTCACAGTACACAAGAAATGGTTCTTTGTCCATTCTAGGTCTAATTCTGTAGTATCCATTTGCAGTTTGCCCCCGATTGAACAACATTGCACAATCTAAGCAAAGCAGCATTAAAAAGCAGAGGAAGGGTTATGTGCAAGTTGCACCAATATGACAACTCAGGTTAGTGGAACTATACAACACAGGGAAGTGAGATCACCTAATACTTCCCTGGCCTGCCAAATTATATTGGTTGTTAACTTTTGTGCATTTTATTATGGATCACTTATATTAAAAGGTATTCTTACTCTGCCTACATATATCTGTGCTTGTTTTGTTTTTTTGTTCATACCAGACTTTAGTATGAATCTAGAAATCTGGAGCTACAGAGATGAAAATGTAAGAGAACAATATAGATCAGCTATATTTCTGCCTTCATATTTTTCATGTAAAGTCAGGACACATATGGTATGTTCATGGATTTGTGAGCACTAAATTACTTCTGGAACTAATAAGTCTGAGAAAGGAGAAGGTCTATTTAGAGAAAGCAGAAGCATGGCTTGCTATTCCATTTTCTCCATGCCTGACAAACAATAAACAACTACAGAAGAAGGCCAGATGTTGGCTGTACTTGAGCACATTCTTAGTTGTTAACTTGAGCACATGAACTTGAACAAATTCTAGACTCAGCTCATCATGGACCCTGAAAGGTTCCCCCACCCACCCAAGCACTGTGATAGTTACATCCAGAAGTCACTTGTCTTTTCAAGTGCATCACACACATTTTGTCACATACATGTCAAATATTTCTTGTTATACACACAAACACACACAAACACACACACAATTTCTGCAGTCCAAATATTCTTGTGGATACTCTTCACAAAGCCACATATGAAGACTGATCCTAGGTTGCTGCCAAGTGGTTTCCTCCAAATATAATCAAATCATTATGTCAGTGATTAATTATGTGGCTCCACAGCATCTTGGTTCACCAAGCACAAGTCAAGCCTACTTTCTGACATATTACAGATTAATGGTTACTGCTGTTGCTTGTTGCAGACTCTCCCTATCAGTGCTATTTGCTGCAGAGGGCCAGAATCCTGTTTTTTTATATACATATTGTTAGGATCTTTGAGGAGTTTTAATTAATTCCCTTTTTAGTTAGTAGAACATAAAGTAGAAAAACACAAAAAGCTGCAGCACTGGGAAAATGTGAAAGAAGAATAGCTGGAACTCCCAGCTTCCACACAGCCCCTTTGTTCTCTCATTGACAAGCCCTTTGCATATAAAAAAATCATTCTACACATAGCTTAAGAAGAAAAGAGAAACACCTTTACTTTCAGTTGATCTCCAGTTACAATCAAAAGAGTAAAAAAGGATTGTAGCTTAAGAAGAAAAGAGAAACACCCTTACTTTCAGTTGATCTTCAGTTACAATCAAAAGAGTAAAAAAGGATTTAAAAAATAAACTGCAGCTTCAGACAGTTCAGGAAAAATTTCTTTGCTGATTGGTTACTGATTGGTTACTGGCAAAAGACAGTCACCTACTGCAGTCCAAGAACTCCCTCCTCCCACTGAAACCCAGCACCAGGCTTAAGAATTCCCTCCTCCCACTGAAACGCAGCACCAGGCTGCATGCAAGATTGTTAACAATACCAACAGTGTGGAGGATTACACTTCTTCTCCTGCTACCCTATTGACCATTCAGATCCATGTGCACACTTGATTTCATTTAAAGCCCAGAGTTATTTCAGAATGATGTACGTATTTAAATCATTGGTGGAAAACTCATGGACTTCTAGACATTGTTAGGTTGTAACTCCCTTTAGACTTACCCAGCATAGCCAGAGATAAGGATGGTGGGTGCTACAGTCCAACAACATCTAGGGAATGATGACAATTGTTTCTAGTTACATTATTAAACATAACATGTTATCAGGCTCCTCATGGGGGGGGGGGACCTGCAACTTCCCTGAGGTGCTCTCATATGTAACATGCTTTGCTAATAGGCTTAGGCTTAGCGTGGCAGACAGAACCAAGACTAAGGTCCAGTAAGCCTCAGGCTGAATGAAATCATCTTTCCAGGGTAATGGACAACATGTGCAGATTCAGGACATCAAGAAGCATTGGTTCCCACAAGGTGTAATATACCTTGATCATAAACCAAGAGATTCCCACTAGTTGTGGGCCAAGGCTGCTCCTGGTGCACTGGCCCCTTGGCAGAGATGACCTTGCTCCTTTGTCTGTGATAATTGTTCCCCATTAGGTCCTTCAGCTGGAATTCATATAACTGGGATAAATCTTGGAGAGTTTTCAATTTCTGTCTCAACTTGCTATTTTCCAACAGGCAGTCATCCCTCTCCTAGAAGTGACAGAAAAACACGATGAACTGAGGCGGAGGGCAGTCTCTGGGTCTTTACAGTATTCTGGGAAGGCGACCTTCAGCAACTTAGTTGGCTCCTGTTCCAATTCGTACACAGCCCTGGGGGTTCTGCAGCTGGTTGCCGATAAGGATTTTCTGGGGTGCAGACATGAACAATTTCATTTTACACAAAGCAAGGATGGGGGAAAGTGGGATCCTCTAGAGGTGGCTGGTTTACAATTAGTTGTGTGTGTGTGGGGGGAATACAATCATGCATGTTCCTCCTTTAACACTGGGAGTCAATGGGGAACCTGCCTTCTTTCTTCCTAATTCCCAGGTATGACCTGTGGCTATCTTAACTATGAAGGTTCTCTAACACATATCAGAGTCTTTGAGAGGGCCCCTTCCTTCCTGTTCTCTTTTCAACAACCTTTCCTCTCTCCTCCATTTTCTGTTTTCTAAAGATAGACATGTGGAGATGTAGCTCAGTGCTATACAAAAGGGGAAAGACCTCAGTGTGTACCATAAACAAACATTTCTTGTTTCCTTTGACCAAGAAGCAAACTGATCCTTTTTTCCCTCTCCCTTTTTTCCAGGAGATAGAGTGAGACTGGGCAGATCTCTCTGTGCTTTTTTCTCTGCACCAAAAGAGAATAATCAAATTCCCAATCCCTGCAACATGATTCATCCCATCCCTTATTATGGGCTAGGGCTGACAGGAACATCTGGAGGACCACCAGCCCTGCCACAGGGCCATGCCTGACAAGCAAGGCAACATGTCCACCTGGTCAGCGCCATGACTAATATTGACAGCACATCCCAGATATAAGAACAAGGTGGCAGCCCTTCCATCCCATGTGGCCAAATCCAGCTGGACTGGCAGCTGAGCACATACACGGAGGTTGCAAACGATGTATGTGGCAAACAGCATTTCCTTCCAGCATCTTGCTCCTACCTTGTAGCATCTGTTCCTTGGGGTGATTGCCTTACTCTGTCTAACAGTAGGGCAGCCCGGGTCACATATTCTGTAACAAAGGTGGCACAGCTCTGTGGTGCAGTGGTTAAACTGCAATACTGCAGTCAAGTCTCTGCTCGCAACTTGAGTTTGATCTTGACAGATTCAGGTAGCTGGCTCAAGGTTCACTCAGAGAACACTAGCTTCCGTGTTCATAAGAACAGTACAAAAATGGCACCCTGGAAGCTCATCGCATGCAGCATAGTCTCACTTACTGAAAGTCGTGGTGCAGAGGAACAAAAGGGCCTGAGAAACAGCAGAAGGAACAGCAGCGGAATCATCATGACATTCCTTTAACTGGGCTGAAAGGAAATATATATATATTTAATATATATGTGAATATATATACAGTATATATATTGATTTTATTTAACCAATTTCTTAACCACCTTCCAAGATCACAGAGATCCCAAGGTGGCCTGCAAAATTTAACAGCTTTTCTTTTGGCTATAGCCACTGTATGCTACTGACTGGTGTAGGTTTCAGCGTTACCTCCCCCCAAAGAAACAAATAGTGGATTTTTCTTTTCTTTTTCAGTTATAATGTTTAGGAACTTGAAAAAAATTAGTACTATTATTTATGGATGCTGCGGTTCTTTTAATCCTGCCACCTTATGAAAGCATCAGTACTCCTAAGGGTGCCTTTTTTGGAGTAGACTCTGAAATATTATGTAATTATTGACAGGAAGAGGCTGCAAATATGCTATTTGTAGATGTAAACATATATTAAACTGTTCTATATTGCGAGTGGTGCACTATATTAGGAATGTACAGTAGCTACTGAGATTATTCTATAGCATTTAGTTGGGATGGAAGACAAGATATGATCAGGTGGATACATCATTTCTG